GTTCAGTTTCTGTTTATCTCCTCCTCTTCTCCTCGCTGCGCCACTGCTTCTCAATTTTTACAGTGGCTCTCCTCAGTTTTTCAACAATCCAAATTAAAATTACATGTTCCCTTTATAGCAGAAGGCGCTTGTCCTCTGCAGGTGCTCCGTCTGCCTGATAACCCAGGAGCCGGAAGCCTCAGGACACCTCCATCTTCCCTCTCAGCCCCTGGGCTCTTCTGAGGATTCTCTGCAGCTTCTGATTATGGAACTTGGCATCAGAGCGTGTTCGGTTTCAGGAATCCTCATTTAAGACTTGTCACCATCCTGTAAGATGGAATTCTGCAGAATTAGACGTACCCTGTCTAGAGGTCCCTCTTCTGAATAAAATACCATCTACTCGGGGCCACCTGGAAGCTTCCTTATGTAACACACATGCCTTCCTCCTGCCTTGACGTGGGGTCACCGCACGCCCCTGTCTTCCTGTGGGTAGGGGCATCCCTCTGTCTTGGGTTTTTAGTGCTGATGACAACAGGTCTGACTTGACTTTTCCTAATAGAGAGCCATTGTGTTGGGAAGTCTAAGGTTTTTTTTATTTACTCTTGGAATTTAAATATTTTACTAAAGTAAGCACAGGGCTGTGGATATGTTTTCTACGCATTCCACCTGGGTCCAAGCGGCCAACCAAATCTGTCTTGGGATTTGCTTCTAGCCTCTCATTTCCTCCATGGTTTCCATCTCACGGGATGCTGTTTGGGTTGAAAAAGTTCTTCTAATTTATCTTTTCATTCAATAATGTCCATATCTTCTCTTATATAATAAATTCTAAATTCAAAAAGTCAGGGTTTCCTAATGTGTTTCAAATGCCTGAAAGCCTTTTTCAGCGCTCAGCTTCGATGGCTTTGGAAGGTGCCAGACTTACATTTTACGGCTCAGCTTCAACTGCCAGCAGCTGCTCCATGTCCACGTGTGGGTCTTTCTCCCCTGGTCACCGTGCGCCGTTGCTTTTCCCTGCAGGCTGGTGGCTCTGTGTTCAGTAGTCATACCTTCAGCACTGGTGAATTTCAGCTGGCGAAGCACAGGAGGGTCTTCCTCTGTGTCTCCCAGGTAGAAAGAAATCTTTTCAACCTCAAAAACTAGGACCAGTTCAGCTCGAGAGTACAGCCCCTGGTCCTCTGGGGTTCTGGAGCGTGCTGGGCCTTCTCCCCAAGGACTCACACATCTGCTTGGCCTGGAATCCCCACCAATAGGTCTTGGCACTGAGCCTCTCCAGCACTTGCACCCAGCACAAAGCAAACCATGTTCCAACAGGATCCAGACCTGAGAAACCCCGGGCAGTGAGTGTCCTGTCCTCAACCCACCCCCAGCACTGCAGGCTGGCCCACTGTGAGGATAAGGGTGGACATTCAGGCTTCCCTGCCTAGTCCTATTTTTCTGAATCTGACCAGTTTAGATCAGTTGAGTGGAGGTCCCTTCCAATTAAGGCAAGAATGAGTATAAAACATCACCCCAAAAGAAACTCCTTTCAGAGAACAATTCACTGTGTATCACAGAAAACGGCCCTTTTTTCTTTGATCTATTATGCCATTACTAAATATCTAGCCTTAGGGAATAATTTTTAATTAAAAAATGGTTCATGAGGACCTTTATTATTTATAAACTGCCAACAACCGAACTGTCCATCCGTGGGAGAGTGGCTAAGTGAATTAGGATCTTCAGCCGATGAAACAGGCATCAATGGCTTTGAAAATCCTAACAGAAAAAGTGCTTAAGGTCATCTGTGAAGTGGAAAGAGGGCACACTCGTGAATCTAACTACAGAAATGTTATATGCAAAAAATTATAAGGCAAAGGAAATACAGCAGGGTGCTAATAATGGTTATATAATGGCCGTTGATGGTTTTTTCCCCATCCTCCTCCTTTTTACCCTAGTTCTCAAATTAAATATTGTAGGTAATAAAATGGTACTAAAAATACTCTGTATAAACCATATATACAGCTAACGAAGTAAAGGACTGAGAATTGATAAAGTAATTGCGACATGTAAATGGCTTCCTCAGAAGGGGCTTAAAGTGCTTATTGACAGTTTTCTAGGGCTTTAAACTCTGCCTCAGCAAATGTTTTATGAGTAAACTCCATCTCAGCCCTCACTGGATCAATCACTTGCTCAGACAACTCTTGCTAGAGGTTGTTTACCCAAGTCTCTCCCTGGCATCCAGAGGATATAATGATAAATAAAACCATGTTCGGCCCTGGCCATCAAGGAGAGAGCCTGGGCCTACCAAGTGCAGCCCAGTTCGACTTCCAAGAAAGGCCCTCATTCCAGTGTGGATGGAAATGCCGAGTGGCACAGAACCAGGTGGCAGATGTAGGATTAAGTAAACCTCGAGAGCCAGCAGCTGAATGATATCCGCACACACTCAGACAACCCCTCCACAAAAACGTGTTCAGAGAGCAGATCTGAGAGCTTCCACAGGGAACCCCACCCAAAGCCCCAGCAGCCGCTGCACATTAAGCTTCCCTCATCAAGGAATGCAAATCTGGATAAACAAGAGTTTCTTTTAAATATATACTAATTTTCTCTGCTGCTGGTGATACCTAATCACTTAAATTATTTATGATACGGTTCCGGCTTGTTTATGCAGGCTTTGCAGAGCAGTCTCAGCACACACTGTCCTGCCACCACCTCAACCCAGCGCTATCACTTGGCCTTTCTGCGAAGCACCTGGAGATGGGTGTGGTGTACACACAGGGCAGCGCTGTTCCCTCCCCAGGGCACAGAGGGATGAGTCCAGGACCTGGACGGGGCAGCTTAACCAGACCAAAGGTCTTCACTTAACCTGCTCAAGGCTTCAGTTGAGGGCTCCAGTTCCACCATCCTGCTAAACTAATGGGTCCTAAGCAAATAATTCAGACTTGAAAGAAAAGGGAACCACATAAAGACAGGCTTGGTGGCCTTGTTTGTAACCAGATGGCACCCAAATGCCTGACGTGGAAGAACACAGAGCTCATTGATGTCATTGAGTGTTTGTGAAGACTGGGTGACAGTATGAAAGTGCTTCTAATCTCACTTCAAAGCAGTGGTGACTTTGCCACCAAGGAACAAGTGACCTGTCTGGATATAGTTTGGGTTGGGTTGTTTGGGGGTGGGGGGGTGCTACCAGCTCCTGTACATGTAAACATGAATTTTTGTATTGTGCTACATAAGACATATGACCAAGAAATGAAGGACGCAAACAGACCCCTGTCCCTTTCCGTGCCCCGCTCTCCCTCTAATTATAAAAATACACACGCCCCACAGTCTAAGGCTGGGGTTTCTTTATACCATTTATACAAAACAAGAATTCTGGCTTAAATCTTTCAATAGATTTAATAAATACCCCCGTCTCAATGATAAATTAAGAAATGCTTGATTCACTCCAAAAGAGGAGAAATTGAAGAACTAGGAATTCTCAACCAGGCAGGGTATGTTGGCTAATTCACTAGCCCTGGTACGGGGGCGGGGGGGGGGGGGGTCTTTATATAAATTTTCCTGACCAAGCCTTTCTATTACAGAAAGAATCATGGCAGTTGATTTTTTGGCCCATACTTTAAGGTTCAAGAGAGAACTAGTTTCCATATAAACATTACAGTTCAATATTTAAATTCTGTTTCAAGATAAGAGAGTTTCTATTATACATCCCCGTATCCTCTTAAGACAGAATTTCATCATCATGAGATTACTTTACACCAACAAAAAGTCGTGCCCCTGGCTGAGGGTCTCTGGCCCCAGGCACTGGGCCTTTATGTCTCTGCTCCTGTCTGTATTCTCTTTCATCTCGATGTTTCTGAAATGCTGTGGAGTGGAAAACTACCAAGGTTGCAGAAAAAAAAAACTGAGCACAGGGAAACAGCTATGCAAAGCAGCCTGATGTTCTCGCCTCTCAGTCAAGTTCATGAATTTTTACTGCATGGGCTATCACTATGGCCGTTAAAAAGCCCTCCTCACCCCCCAACACCTTCAGCTATATTCTGAAAGTTGCCAAACCAGCAATTACCAAATCACTGGCTAGTTCTTGTAGCCAAAGAATAACACCACAGGGTATGGATTCTACCCAGAAAATACAGGTTGAGCAAATACGAGGAGTGTCTGGGGGCAGGACCAGCCCATCTCAACCACTGAGGTCCAGGCCCACAGTTTTTTTTTTGTGTGTGTGTGTATGTGTTTTGTTTTGTTTCGTTTTTAGCTTAGCCAAAGAGAACTTGAGGGATCAAAGAACTCACCTGGCCCTTGGTGGAGCTTTGAGTTTTGTCATGGATAGGAAGACCTTGGGGGAACACACTGACTACAGATCAGGCATTATAAAAACCATTTACCATACATGGGTCTGCATCTATGGAAGAGGCCACCACAAAGACTCTGAAGCTCCAGAATCACAATACATTTCCAGGTCTTCTACCATCGAACCCAAGCCCCATCTACCCAGAGTTTGGTGTTCTATTCTTAACCCCTTTGTCCTGAGAAAACTTATCATATCCTTTAATGCCATTCAATGAGGCCAAGACCTTTCTGCCAAGCCCACCCAAACTGGTTCTTCAAAGGACAGACCCAAGAATCTCCAAAGTTTTGGCAAACCAAGGGGACCAAAAGGAAGGCACCTCCAGTAGTAGAGGGATGCAAAAGGAGTTGGGAATCCATGTAGCTCCTTCCCCAGGACTGGCCAAGGAGGATCTTGTTGGATATTCTCAGATCCTTTGAAGGGATGACCCAAGACCAACAAAAAAAGCACCCAGAAAGATGAGCTTCTCTAGAAGAGCCAGGTTCTTGGTGTCCAACTACACTGCCTACTCTCAGAATTGTGCAGCATTCTCTGAGAAATAGAAGGCTAGGAGGAAAGACCCAGGACCTCTGCAGAATTAGATGACGTCTTTTATGACGTCTCGTGCTTGGGCTAGCTGAGTCTCAATGGTCTTAAGTTCATCAGCCAACAATGATCATGAGCCACTTTCACCCCCATGACTCGCTGGTGCTTCTCCACTCACCAGAACAGGCCGCATCTCACAGAAAACCAGGAGGGAAGCCAGCTCGATGTCCTCGCTGTGCCCATTCTTCAGAGGAACAGATCTAAACCCTGCAACAGGATGGGGAAATGCAAAGGCAGGAATTAATGTCTGATCGTGGCCTCTTGGGGTACCCAGAGATCATATGCCCCAAGAACAGGGAGGTCGGTACCCCCTGCGGGGGCTGCAGTACCCTCTGAGGGTTGGGTATAGAGGCTAGAAGTCTCAACAGACAGGTCCACACAGGAAGCAAAGTTAAGTATCTGCCATCTAGAAATGAAAAGGATTCATTCAGAAGGCATTAAAGCCCATAGAACACGCTGTGTTGACTTTAGAGTGACTGCAGCTATGGTTCAATTCCTTACAGACTCCAAGGAGCAATGAATCCACAGCCCCTGTCCTCCATATAGGCTTTTACAAGGCACAGGATGGGGGGGGGGGGGGGGCGGGTTTTAAGATTTCCAATCTTCCTGTCCCTTGGTAGCTCATGGCAGTATTGATCATCCCCCTCCAGCAGCCATTCCCTGTTTACCATTAGGACCTGTGTTTGACAGTCCTTTTAATGTTTCTTTTTACTTAGGATTGGGAGGAGTTGGAGCTGAATCTCCTCTCGCCCCATTAAGTAATGTCTAAGTCAGCTCATCGGGAGGGTTGGTTTCCTTGTTTTAATTAAGTAGTATGAAAGAGTGCACAGTAAAATAGAGCTCGCTCCCACCCAGATGCTCCACATCCTAGAACAAACCATTGTTAACCCTTTCCCAAGATGGTCAGTGCACAGAGTTTGTGCTTCTTTTAAGTCACAAATGAATAGGACCTTACAGTTTCCATTTAACATAATTTAGGGATCCACTCTGTGGCCCTGATTTGTCTTCAAAGCTTTTTAATTACATTGTATTCACTGATGCTCCGGATGAGCAATGCCCAGCTAGGGAACCCACACTCTTCCCCCCAAGTTTCGGCTCATTTCTCAGTGCAAAATGTGTTCTATCGATCAATTTACAACTTTTTAACAATATCAACTGACTCTCTCTCACTTTCCGCCACTCAGGAAGAGGGCAGAGGTACCCATCCAACCTTTCTTTCTCTTCCCCTAATTTGGGTAAAAATCACATTTCTTTCCCCTTGACATCATTTGTGGTATTTGCATTCCATTTTATAACCATAATTCTCCCACATTTTATCATAAATATTTTTAAATATGCAGAAAAGTTAAAATAATACAAGGAACATTTGTATACCCCGCACTTAGATTCTATCACTAACCTTTCACTATTTACCCAACCACTTTCCCCTTAATGCATCTCATTAACCAGAGCCCAGTATTACTTTGTATTGTTCTTCTCATATAAAATTTACACATAATGAAATGCACAAACTTAAATTATACAGTGCTCACTGTGGATGTCTTGGTTATGTTCTTAGTTGTACATTTTCAAAAGCCGACTTTGATTTTACAGTTGAGTGACAGTTTGAGTGGGTATAAAATTCTCAGGTCAGTCTTCCCTGTAGGATTCTGAGGACATTGGTCTCATAGGATTCTTCTATAGAGAGGTTCTAGTTTTTACCTTATGGGTGATGTTGGCTTGTGTATTTTCTGCCTGGATAGCAGATCACAGAATTCCTACCTTGCAGCTGTCATTACTCCAGATGTGAGTCCCTGTGAATTTTGTTCAAAGGCAGATTCTGACTTGGGGGCCTAAGATTCTGCATTTACCATGAGCTACAGTCTACTGATGACAGGGAAGAAGTCAGTTTAGTGTTGACATGCTGTTGGGTGCTCCAGGAGGCGGTCAGGTACCCCGTGCACTCCACTAGCATGGTTCCGAGCAGAAAGCCACTCAGAAACTCCACCTGTGCCTCTGAATCCAGCAGCAGGAGCTCTGCCCCAGACCAGCTGTCTCCAGATCCCCCAATCCTGCTCGGTGCCCACTGTCACTATGATGCACTGGGAGCTCTTCTCATATACTGGAATTAAGGATGATGAAAGGTGTTCCTCAATTTCACCAAAAATAGAATTTTTATTCTTTTTCGTTATATCACAGAGGAAAGAGAAATCATGACATCTTTTAAAATAAGGTCAGTGTTTGGGGCTTTAAGCACCCAGTGGCAGTAAGAGGACTCAAGAGGCAGCATAGGAGGAATGAGGGGGAGTCCTAGCTCTGGTCTTGCAACCTTGAACTAGTTAATTCACAAAGTGCTCAGATTTTAAAGGCAAACACAACAAAATCCCTTTTGCAGGATTACTATGAGGATTAAAAGAGAAAGACATTAAGGAGCCTAATGCAATAACTGGTGTTTCCTTCCTTCCCGAGCCCCAGCTGGTGAAAGGCTTAAATGCATCCTTCACAACAGCGTGCCAAGCTCGTTTTCGAGTTCAGAAGGCCCTCGATGCCTCATGCGCAGAGGCACTATTCATTTTGTTTTATTCCTCCCATGAATATGGATGCATCAGGTGCTCCTGGGAGCTGGCAAGGGGAGTAAGGAGGTCCCCGGTGTATCTCACAGTTAGGGGAGGGTCACATCTATAATCGTCCTTGAGATTTTCTTCTTTCTTTGTATCTCCAATTTAGTCATTGTCTAGGTGGACTGCACTTTGGCCGGGACACTGAGGAAGTTCCATCCATTCTGACCTTTCCCCAGGGGACTGGGAGAGAGTACAGGCTCCTGCCCTATTCCTTAGGAGGACATCAGAGTAACAAGGGGTAGCAGTATGGTCAGGAATGGTAGGCACAGTTAGCATAAAAAGAAATCCATTACGGCATTAGAACTGTTAGGATTTACCAAAATCTACACCTCCTGCCTCATTCCTAAGCCTTCTTGATGAGGCTAATCCAAACAAACCACATGGCAAATTAGAGCATCGCAGCTTAACTGCTAGGTTTAAAATCGTTCATAGGATCTGCAAGTTACCCAGTAAGGGCTGCCAAATATCAGGCCTCTGGGACTTACAAATGAATAGGCATTAAATTATGAAATCAGAGGGTTTAAACACTTTCTGAAATGCTTGTTCAACCTACTTGCTTAGGGACTGGTTTTCTCAGTGTCATCCAAAAGCCACTTGAGGAGCTGGCCAAACATGCAGATTCTTGGGCTGATTAGAGGCCCCAGTATGCCTGCTACTCAGAAGCTGGGCTAGTACCCAGTGGAAGAAATGGCCAGATTTATGATACGAGGAGAAGTTCAAGAACACATGACGTGTTCCAATAATAATATATCCAGTCCAGTTCTATAAGTGGCCTAAGTTTCCCAACAACACCAAAAGACTGTATTTTTTAATATAAATGACTAAAATGATAGTAACATCTTTCTCTTGAAAAATTTTTCTTAGAAAAGAAGGAAAAGTGACTTCTAGAGGGTTTCCAAACTTACCCCTCATTCATCAGAAACACCCAGGAAGGGCAAGGAAGAAATTCAACATCCAGTGGACACCTGGTTGTCAAACCTCATACACAGAATCCCGCAGGAAAGGAGATTAGAGAAACTGCCCTCCACGTAAGGACAGCCATCTTACAGATCAGCGCTGAGCTCCTGGGCCATAGCCTCTGCCCACCAGGACTCTGGCAGCTGCATTGAGGGTCTTCAGCATTTGAGACTCAATGGGCAGTCTCAGTACCCAGGTTCTTACAAGCTGGTCACAGGCAAACACAAAATGACCCTTCGCTACCCATGAAGGGGTTTTGTTCAGCATGAAGGAAAATTAACAACACTCCGATTTTATAAAAGAGGAAGGTGAGTTCTGAAGGCCAGGAGAGTTGGACCTAAGACTGAGCTCCCATCAGTCACCAAATCCCAGCCAGGGAGCTCAGGCAGCAGCACCAGTTCAATGACAGACTAATACTCCAGTTTGCACACGGAAGTCTTAAAGGACACAGCCCCCATCTCACCCTTTGCCTCCCTCCTGTGGACGAAATAAATGTTCAAAGGGGGCCCAGCTCCAAGCCGCCCAATCAGTTTTGCACCAATTTAATCAAAACCAGGTAAAATGCTTTTTCATTCTTTTTAAAGCAAGCAGCACAGATCAAAGAACACTTCTGGCCCAAATTAAGTTTCTTGATTAAAATGCCTCTTGCCTGATTTGATGCCTTTAATGGGGTACGTGGCATGAGCCAGGAAGTTGGGGTCGCTGAACATGTCTTCCTCATAAACCACAAAGCGCAGGAATGCAAGGTTTGGGTCATAAATTTCAAATGTCACCTTCTCCTGCGATGCAGCCCAGACAGGGCTGAGGCCATTGTCATCTGCAAGGAGACCAAAGCTCGTCAGAGGCTGCATTCGCACCACCCTCCTGGAACACATCTGCACCAAGATCCAAGAAGATCTGAGCCATCATCTTCACGTTTGGTTTTTTCCCCCTCTTTCCCAGTGGGCATGGCCCTCAGGGACAGAGGAAGAGAGCACATCTCCCACCTCACCTCCTATGATGGGAGCTGGAAGAAACACGGGTGAGAAGCGGCCTCTGTCCAGTAAGGGGAGTGGGCTGGGGGTCTCTGAAGAGCGTGTTCTAGAGTTGACAGGGAGGACCTAACCTCTAGAAGGCCACGTGGTCAGTATCCAGTCGTGCAGTAGGCTGCCTTTGGCCAAGGACAGTGATTCTGCTCTTAAAAGGCCCATAATTGACAGGTCCTTCCTGCCCTCTATGGCTGAGGTTACCCTAGTTAGACTGAATGGTGCCAAGTCAGCCACATGTGTCCCGCCCCCCACTCTGCTTCTTAGCCTTCAATCCACAGGTGTGTCAGGTCTGGGTTGTCAAAGAGGAAACCCACCTAGTGTCACAAGGCAGAGCGAAAGCCCTGCTTTCCAGCCCTCACCAGGCTTCCACAGGCAGAGGCACAGCACTGGCTCCAGGTCCAGTGCACTAGGAAAGTGGCCTTGCCTTTCCCCTCCCCTCCCAGAACTATGGTGGACAAGAGGGGCACAGGAAAAGGCTAGACCACAAAGTGCACTCGGAGTCCCCTGGGGACAGCATGTATATGTGATCCAACTGGGTGGCATTTCAAGGAAAGGCCCAGGCTACTCACTCACAACCGTCGTCTTAAACTTGCTGTTGTCATACTCGGCTCCACAGACTTCCACCTCTACGAAGGGACAAGCGATGCTGCGCCCAAGCTTGGGGAGATGGCGGGCACCAAGAACCTAGGACACCAAGGTAAGCAGGTTGATCCCCCAGGTCCGCCCATGAGCAGCTGAGCCTGTCCCACATGTCAGCCAGGCCTGGGCTTTGTTTGGGTCTAGAGTCCAGCTGCACAAGTTCAAAGCCAGCCTCGTCCACAGGAGAATCATAGCAACCCCCTAGGGTGTGGCTCCTGAGTGCCCACCATCACTGCTTCCCGCTGGGAAACAAAGAAGTGAGGTGGAGAGTTGCAGTGTTCCCAGGTGGAAGGAGAAGTCTGAACCAAGCCACTTGTCATCTGACCCAACAGGTGGGTCTCCCTAAGCACACAGATATGCACACTCGTGCCAGGTGGGCACCTACCGAGGCTGGGTGCCCCAGAACTGAGACAGGGCAGAGGAAAGCAGGGCATCCTATTAAGCAAAGACCTTAGGTGGCATGCATTTCACTTTTTCTTCCTTAATCTCATAAGAAATGCAATCCACTTCTCGACTTTCCAAAAACTCTTAGAAAAAAACAACACATTGTCTGAAAGTTGGGTTAAATTAAGAAAACTTTGACCCCTAAAACTGGCCAACAGGGGGACAAGCTCTCCTGAGTTGAGACCCAATGATATGTCCACATTGCCTTTCTCTCTCTTCCTGGCCAGAGGCTGACCTCACCCAGGGAGAGATTCATGCCTCTCCCACAGAGGACCAGGGAAGTTCACTGGGTTGGATTTAAGGAGATCCCCTCCTCCCAGGACAACACTCTAGAGGGGACTGTGCCCCCAGATGCCCTCTGGGCCTCCAGTGCAGCGTGGGCCCAGCCCCCTGGAGGGCTCTACCTTGACAGTGAGAGTCATCAGGATCTTCCTCTGCGACTCTGGTGGCATCGGGTCGTACTTCTCTGTCCGCATGCTCTCCGGCTGTAGGACGTAGCCCGTCCGCCCGTTGAGCGAGAACAGCGCGTGGTTCATCTGCATGTACTTGTCTGCAAGGACAGCCGAGCAAGCACGATGTAAGGCCGCTCAGGGACACGGCCCTGGGCTGGGGGTGCTGTCTGGGAAGCGGTGTACCACTCTCCTAGACAACTTGGGGCAGTCGTTCCAATAGGTATGTGACTTAAAAGACAATGTCAGACGTAGGAACACCTTTCCAAGTATGACAGTAGGACCACAGATGATTAAAACAGGGTTGGGCGTAGCTCAGGGTTAGTGCACTTGCCTAGCATATGCAAAGCCCTGTCTTCCATCCCTAGCACCACAAAATGACGACAGGGAAAAAAGGCTAAAAATTGGAAGCTCAAAATATCTACAAAGAAAAAACAAACTGCATCACAGTGAAATCATTTTAGCTGGGTGGGGTGGCACATGACTGTAATTCCAGTGACTCAGAAGTGTGAGGCAGAAGGATTGCAAGTTCAAGGCCAGCCTCAGCAATATAGTGAGACCCTGTCTCAAAATTTAAAAAAAGGACTAGGGATGTAGCTCAGCAGTAAAGCCCCACCGGATTCAATCCCAAATACAAAAAAAAAAAAAAGTTAAATCACTTTACTTCAAACGACAAGCAAATAAATACATATAAAACTTTAGCCTCTTAAGAGCTGTGGTAAATATACGCTATAAAAACCTACCACATTAGATAAATCACATGAATGGTATGCATGAAAAAAATGCAAATTCTCTCTAAGTGAAAAATAGATTAACATCATCACTGGTAGGAGAAATGCCTGCAAGAGCAGCTTTAATTGTCTACAGGATAATATCAGTTTTCACTTATCAGCAAGCAAAAATTAAAAAGCTCAATAAAATTACATTGGTGCTGGGTGCAATAGCACACACCTGTAATTCCAGTGGCTCAGGAGGCTGAGGCAGGAGGATTGAAAGTTCAAGGCCAGCTTCAGCAACTTAGCAAGGCCCTAAGCAACTTAGCGACACCCTGTCTCAAAAAATAAAACATGCTGGTATGTGGCTCAGTGGTTAAGCACCCCTGGGTTCAATCCCCAGTACCAAAAAAAAAAAAAAACTGACCCTGGTGAAGTTATGCCAAAAATATGAATTCATACTTTCACCCATTTGTGTTCCCCTCCACTGTCTCTAGGGGGGCACTGTCTGCAAAGGGTCTCAGCTCAGGCACAACCCCACACAGGTGCTCAGTGGTTTTCTGCAGGTAAAGCATATCAAATGAGAACACAAGTGCGGGTGCCCCACCCAGTCCTTCTGAGACCCTTGCCCCACAGATGTGCACCTGCATCTGAATGATGCTCACTCAAGGGTCCAAAAGGCAATGCTCCCTCTAAGAGCCAAGGATGGGCAATGGCCTAGATGTACCTCCATGGGAGGCTTGTTAAGTAAATGGCAGTTCCACTCAGTGGCGATGAAGAGAATGGAAGGAGTGAAAGCACTGTGATTTAAGTCCGTGTATGCTGGGTTTCCCCGGCAGCTGAATACCGCTGGAGGAGTGAGCGAGCATGAAGTCCTCAAAGAGGGATGGCCAAGAGGAGAGCGCCCCCGAGACAGCCACTGCACACCTGGATCCTGAAGCTACAAATCAGCTCCTAGACCTTTTCATTATATAAGCCAAGACAGCTCCTTCTCTTAAGCTAGACTCGTGATCACACGGCCAGTGGCCACAGTGCCCGCCCTTCAGTTCAGCTGCTGGGCTTTGCATTAACTGGCATTCTGGTTGAGCCCTGGCGGTTCCTAAGACACATCACTGGCCCCCAGCTGACTTTGCCTGGAATGATGCGGCCACCATCTGGCCCCCGGCTGCCCTCCAGTTACCTGGGGTCTGGAAGTTGAGTGCCACCATCTGGGAGCCACACAGCCACAGGCGGAAGGGATCATAGTTTGAAGAGTCAACTCTCTGTCCCTTCGGGTAGACGCGGGTCAGGCCCTTTTGGTTATACCTCAGGAGATCAAGGGGCTTCTGTCTGACGATGCTGTCGGCCTTCGTCTCCACGAAAGAGCGGATTTCCCGGAAATCGGGGTTTTCTGTGGACAGAGGTGGGTGGGTGGCACTTCACTCTCGCAGGTCTCGCCCAACACATTTTCCTAATACCTGCTGCCATGGGTGGGTGCTCAGGTGGTGAAAGGTAGCCAGAAGTCCCTCAACAGGACGCTTCGGGCAGTGATGAAATGCTGCTATGGACTCCTCCCTCAGGGGCCCCACACAATAAAAAGGAACCTCATCTTTCATACTAGATGTATGACAATTTGTGATTAAAACTATGAGCATCCTTGAAGCACACAGCACTAACGTGGCACAGTGACAGAAAGGTGGGGGGGGGACGAGTATGTGGGCAGCAGCAGGAAGGTGCAGGTCTTGGGAAGGAAACATACAGAGATGGGCTCTCTCCTCAGGATGCCAGAGACACAAGTAGCACAAACCCCGCATCGTGGAGGAGAGAGAACCAAATGCTACTGCCTGTGGGCAGGATGTGACAGGAAGGAGTGCCTGGACTGGTAAAAGGCAAAGGCGAGGTGGGAGGGGGTGGACGTGTCACCTCACTTGCTCCCGCCCAGCAGGGGTGGGACAACCAAAAGGAAACTGGCTACACCTGGCCGGGCCCATCCTGCACTTCAGCATCTTCCCCTGGACCTGGAGGGCTGGGACCAGCCTGCTATGGAGAATTGGTGAAGATCCACTTTGTAATTTCTCCGAGGTCGGCTGAACAGTGTCCCTGGCCCACCCAGGACCTCAGCCCCAGAACCTAGGAATCTGCTGTTAAAGGGCAGCAGGGACGGTGCAGATGTGGCTGAGGAGCTTGGAACAGGGAGACCCTGCTGGATCATCCAGGCGGGCCTGCTGCGCTCACAAGGAAGAGAAGGCCAGAAGCCACCAGAAACTGCGCAAAGCAGGAAATGGACTCCCCCTGGGGGTCTGGAAGGACTGCAGCCCCTGGCACCTTCGTTTTGGCCTGGTGACAGGGCCTCAGGACTGTGTGACAACAGATGTGTGCTGTTTTCAGTCACCACATTCATGGTCATTTTTACAGTGGCTGCCCTCCGAGCAGGTAGGGGCCGAGGACAAAGGAGTCAGGCCTCTGCCAGGAGCAGTCAAGAGCCAGCAGGAAACGCTGTGCCCTGAAGCATCAGATTCCACGGGGAGCCCTGCTCATGGCCGGGGAGTCGCGGGGAGGGCCTTACCCAAGTTGTCCTTGGTCTTGCTGGTGGGCTTGCAGTAGACAACCAGGTCCGAGAGCTCGATGGCGATGGACTGGTTCTTCTCCCAGTACTTCATGTTGTTCTCCTGTTCCAACGCCACCATCTGTAGTTGCTGCCGCAAGACGGCGCCCCAGCAACCCCAAGCCACTGGGCCCCTCCTGCCTGCTCAGACCTTCCATGGAGCTGAATGTTCTCTTGTCCTGAAGACTCCCTGCCCCTGCTCCACAAGCAGCTTCCACCCAGATTTGGTGTCCAGCCCTGGCCAAGCTCTCACAAGTAGAAGGGGGCCTGGCTGGCAGGGGGGACACCTCTTTGACATTACCCCTCTTTTCTTGTTACCCCTGCCTTTCACCCCATCCCTCCCCTGAAGCCAGTGGTAGTTCATCAATTCCAGATCTCCGTGCCCCGAGCACCCTGCAGGCCAGCTCCAGCCTTCAGCTCCGCCCATCCTGGCTCCATCTGAGGCTCTCCTTTCTCCCAGGGCCCAGGCCTTGGGCCGTGGACCCAGGCAGCATTTCCCAGAAGGTTCACTGCTCAATCTAACTCCACCCAGGTAAGGATGAGCTGCTCACTTCACCCCACACCAGGCCCCTCAGATTCTATCAGCCTCTCCCTGGCCTTGGGGGAACCGTAAGAGAATATTTAATATAGTCACCATGGAATGGTGCTCAGCCCCAGGCATGATGGATATTATTTGGTCCACAAATGTCAAGAAGCAGAAATTATCTCCATGTATACAGAGAGGTTAAGCAGCTTACCCGAGGAAACACAGCCAGCTGATGTCAAGACCAGATGCTTAAGAGCAGGGACCCAAAGTCCCTGGAGAAGATGTCACTGAACTGCCCCTACATCTAGCACCACAGTTCACAGCCAGCCCCCAGACTCCTCACCCCTTGGTGGCTCCTGGGCCTGTCCAGCAGAACTCTTCTGGACCCATCCAAGTCCTCCTTTTCTGGGAAGCTCTCATGGGGCAGGGGAAAGGACCTGGCCCTCCTGAAGGCATCCACGCCTCTCTGCCCCAGCCAGCTTCTACCAGGCTCAGCCTTGACAATCCCTCTTCCATTGTCCTGCCTTAATGCTAATGTGCAGATGGTGACCCCCTAGGGGAGTCCCTTGGCAGGAGGGCCCTGCAGACAGCAAGTGCTCAGGTGGTTACAACGGTGGAAAGTGGAAACCAGGCCCTGAGAATTACTGGGTCACCTGGGCAAACCCTACAGTCTGAGCCTCAGATCCCCTAATTGTAAAATGAAGCTCACAGGAATGCTCCCTCACGGGGCCATTGTAGGAATTAAACGAGGAAGCCTCGTGGATCAGTCATGGGGGCCACTCAGGAGGCGCCTCCGTAGGCAGGTGAGCAAGCAAAGGCAAGCAGCAGGCTCTTCCGTGTGGACACCTGCACCAGGGTCCTGAGTTAACTGCGCCACCAAAGCAGACTCTGGCAATGCCAGATCCGCACCTGAGGAAGCACCCCAGCTCCTCTACCCAGCCCGACCCTCACCAGCCCTTCCTATGCTTCACAGGAGTCCTGGGTACAAAGCAACCAGAGGAGGGAGGTAGGTGTGGAGCACGCCATGACTTCTTCAGACATCAGCCCGCCTCGAGCCAAATGCTACCAGGAGACGAGGACCTTTCCAAACCTCAGGTCGCTAGGTCCTTATCAGCCTGGCTCTGCATTCCTGGTGCACGATCTTCACTGTGAGTGTGTGGGGGTATAGGACACCCCAGCAATAACACTGTTTGCCTCCGCTGACGACAGGGTTGCTTAGAACAAAGGTGAGTAGGCGTGCCACACATAGGTGGCCTTCTGGAATACTGTCCCTGCTCATGGAGCACAGCTATGACAAGTGGGGACTTTACCCCATTTTCAGCCTCACAGGTGACAATACCAGCTTAAGAGGAAATGCCAGTTGCTTCTTCCAAATTGCTTAATGTCGCTCTCTGCACTGAAGGTGCTGCCCACTGGGCCACCTCGAAGTGTGGACAGACGCACGCCTGAGCCGGCCCCCAGGCAGCCGTGAGGCCTGCTCAGGAGCGAGGCTTCCAGGGTCGGGATGGGCCTTGCCCCTCAGACCCACAGCAGCCCCTCACACAGGGCGGCTGTGACCAGAGCCAGAACGCGGTCAACTCTGCCGACTCCTGTTTTTTTAACCCTCAATGTAATAAGAAGACTAAGATTGTTCTCACGAAATTTTAGCAAATGTAAAATCCAATTACAGAGGATATAGATCAAAGGCAGCAGAAAGCAGCCTTGAAGAGCTAGGCTCAATTTCAGAAAACTTCACGGGCAGGAGAGGGAGGGGCCAGGGCACCTCAAGTGAAGCCACACTCTTCTCCAGGAGGCGCCAAGCACAGGGGCCAGTCAACGCCCTGTGCCAGCCCACACAGAGCGTTCCCCGAGGAGGCTGGTGCTGGGGACAGACTCGCAGGCTGGCTTTCTCTATCTTTGGCTAGAAGGACCCAGACCAACCAGACCCTGCTCAGGAAGGGACATGCCATCAGGTGGCACCACACAGATCACACTGAGGACAGCAAGCCAGCAAGGAGGACACACCTGGATAGGGACGATTTTTCAAATGAACCTCAGGGCGGTAGCGCCCGCCCTGTGCCTCAGACCTGAGTAACTAAGGGACAGATGAGATGTCCCTATCAGGGAACATGGGAACAAGCTGACTTGCTGGCCACAAGCTCACAGGTCACCCAAGTGACTAGTGGTGGTGTGACAAAGCCCCTGAATTTCTAGGACAGGGGAAAGTGGCAGGCCCTGCCAGGAGGAGGCCATTGACAGGCCTTCTGAAGACGGTAACTGCCCTGCAGAAAGGGTGAGTCAGTAGACCCCTGGTGGCCAAGGACCAGGGCAAGGGGCTACCAGGCTGCTGGCAGGTAGGCACTCCAAGTACTTTGGAGGAGCAAGAATGGACTGCATCCTGAGATCATGGGGGGACTGCAGAGGTCGAGATCTTCCTCAGAAGCAAGACAGCTTTGTAGTCACAAGAAAGAGCAAAGCACCTCACGCCATCCCTCATGATGTGGCAGCCCTGCCACGTCATCCTGGCACAGGGATGACCAAGGCCATCATGGGCTGCGGTCACTACCTCACCTCATCCTACCAGTCAGGTATTTGGCTCCTCGTTCTGCAGACAAGAAAGCCAAGGCCCAGTGTCCAACCCTGCCAGGCTTCAAAGTCCAGCCTGCTGGACTCCAAACCTTCTATCCCTACCCAGAACCCCAAAACGCCCTAGCCAGGTTCTGATGCTCAGAAGAACCCAAAAAAGCCCATTCCTATCTAGAAGATGATGTGCCATAGGGTGGGTCTTGGTCACCCCTGCGTTCCAGGGAGGAGAGCTCCGTGATCGCTGGCTGTGGAAGGATCTAGGCTGCTTTGAGAGATGCACAGGACCAGGAAACGGGGAAGAGGAAGGCGATAGTTCCTGGGTAGGCTATGTTGGCAGGGGCGACCCTGCACACGCCAAGTCTTCTGAAAGCTCAGACTGGGCCCAGCTTCCCAGGGATCTCAAGTGTCCCTGCCTGTCACCATGTGCCCAGGTGAGCAGAGGCCTACCTTGGTGTCGATCTTCCAGGTGATCTCTCGGATGCTCTGAAACCACTCAAAAAGCTCCTCCACCCTGTCCGTGGCAAACTCCACAGGAGGATCACCCTGCTTCTTGGGCTCCAGGATGAAGACAAAAGACTTCTGGTTTTTCCCCTGGGGGGCTTTCACTGTGGGGGAGGGAAAGGAAGGTCCTGTTAGAAGCCCCGAAGAGCAGACTGCACACTGCCTGAGACTTTTCTCCCAGGAACCACCCGAGCCACCTCTGCGGGTCGTCTTGGCACTGACTGGAGCATCTGCTTTCGATCAGGCAGTGTCTGGACAACACACGTCCTGCCCTAAGGTGTCTAGTGGGTTCAGCAGTGGTGTCCAAACAACATCAAGTCCCCAGTCCCTGAGACCTTATTTAGAAATAGACGTGCTCAGTGAGGGATTCCAAGCTGAGACATCGGGGTTTGGGGTAAACCCTAAATCCAAGGACTGGTTTTCCATTAAGAGAGGAGGGGGAGACCTGGACTCAGACGCAGGAGCGCAGAGACACGGAGGCAGACACCAGGGCGGTGAAGCCACAGCAAAGCACCAGGGAGCGTCAGCCAGCGAGCAGAGGCCTAGAGAGGCCTCCACGGAGAACGTGTTTATAGAAAAGAAACTTATAGTTATGAGGGGAGATGACCTGCCTAAAAAATCAGCTCTAAGCTTTCTGAGCTCCTGGATGCCAGGCGATACTCTAAGCAGTGACAGGCACTGTGTCTTGCTCGGTCCTCATCACAGCCTTGTGGGGTACCACTACCTTGTGTCCGTTTTATAGGACACAAAACAGGCTCTGGAAGAATGAAACTGCGAGGCCACATCGGTGGCAGAGGCAAGATCAGACCTGCTAGCAACTCCCTACTTCGTGCCTCTGCTCTGCAGGAGGGGAGGCAGATGCTCCAGGGTGTGAAGGGGAGTTCCCCCAGCCCCGTGCGCCTAGGAGCTCACCTTGGGACCTCAGGTGTGGTGGTCACTAAGGAGCTCGGTTCTGTCATCTGGCAATGGCAGCAAAAACTCCTGTACCCGGCCACCCTACTGGATGGTTGCCAGGGGAAACCAGAACCAGGTGATGCAGGCAGAAAGCAAAGTGCTGGGACACTGTCCTCTAAGCCCTCGGGGACCAGGCCTCCCCAGGGAGGGCCTCGTGGGGAGCAAGCCCAGGCTAACAAACCAATGTGCTGCAGCAGAGGGAGGCTGCCAGGCCCTCGGCCCAGAAGGTCTCTCACTGCCTGCACCCTGCTTCGAGGGAGCTGCGACCTGCCCCCTAAATACAGGCCAGATCCAACCCTGCCACCCCTGCACAAGCCCGTGTCTGGGCCACATCCTCACTTCGCCCTCGCCCCAGATCCCCTGTGGGCAATCTTGGTTTCCTGGTCCCTGGCTGAACAGAGAGAAGTGTCAGGATGCCATCTCATAGGGGCCAAGTTGCAGATCTGACCTTAGAAGCCAAGCCTCCTGACCCCGCGTTTCATCTGGGCCTGGCCAACAGCTTCAAAAGCCAGTTCCTGAAATAATGACGATGACGTTGGGGACAGCAGCTAATACTCATCAAGAGCTTATCAGGTCAGACACTGCTTCAGCACCCACTGCCTAGCTGGTTCCATCCGCATCACTGACCAGCCCAGCCCAGCCCAGATGTACTAGGCTTCATGCAGGGCAGGAGCCGACATCAGTGCCCACTGCACAGGGCCAGCTCCAGGGTCAGGCCTTGGGGGACTTGCTAAGACAATGTGTGCACGTACCAACATTGTAGGTATTGAGGTCCAAGATTCCTCTGCAAAGAGACCCTAAGGGATTGTCTTCAATAATCTGTGAAGAAACAAGACATAACTCATGGTAGTCGTAACAAGAATAATAAAAAGACAACCGGTTTCCAAAGCACACCGTTTAGCAGACACTGCCTGTGGAATCGTTTAAAATGCGTTTTCATTACAGGACCCGTCCACCGGGAGAGCTAAATAATGAAGCTCGGAGATGAAGGGGACTGAGTGGGGAGCAGGAGCCACAGGTCAGCATTTCATTTTCCCCATCCATAAAAACAAGGCCTGTGAATCCTAGAACAGATTTCAAAACACGCCCTAGACCCATTATCTGACAATCCTATGAAATGGGACCTGTGGCCTACGACACCCCAGCTCGAGAACCCTCTGCAGCTCCCTGGGGCCTATGGAAGCAACAGCTATGCTCTATGATCTTTCCAAGCCCTGGTTGCCCCCACCCCCACCAGCTGGCTCTCCCGGCCACTGCACACCCAAACCATCCAGCGTCCAGCTGAGACAGAGACCATCTTGTTGCCAGGAGAGAGGGCAGACCTGTGAATCCACCTGGTGGTTACACGGCCCCACCAGGCTAACAGTGACTGTAGACAGGAGTGACACAGGACCCACATGGTAAGAGGGCCGCACCTCGGCCTCAGTGGGAGCTCTCTCACAGCCCCCTCTTCGCTTAGCCCACCTCCCGCCATTTTGACTTTTCAGGCTCACATTTCCCTTCCTCTAGGAAGCCCTTCCAGATTTTCCCACCTTCCTTAAGAAATAAATGCTCTGAGCCCCTACAGTCCTCATCAGGAAGATGTCACCCTTGTGCAGCCACAGTCAAAGTAGCTGTTCCCCTGGGCATAAGGCAGAGGCTGGGGAACAGAAACCCAGCTGGCAAAGTCACATGAGGACCTCTCCCCGACCAGCTGGGCCCACTACACCACTCACATCAAGCCCGCTCTGCAAGTCTGGTTGCCCAAGCTCAATGATTTCCATTGGCAAACTGCTTGAAGCAAAGGGCAGAATCCCTGTTTGGCCTCTTTCCCTCCCGTGGGAATTCTCTGCCTATTCAGAGCCTCCAGCTCAACACCGCCTGATTAAAGTAGGACTGGCTTGTCACAGCGAATTCCGCCCATGACAACTTGGGTTCAATTCCAATTTCCATGTCACCCTGTCTTCCCCATTCCAAATCTCAAACCACAACCAGCACGTGTCAAATTTCACCCCCTAAGATGGCTCCAGGACTCCCCAAAAGACAGCATAGGCAGGATGATGGATGGCAGGCCTCACCTGCTTTTCCAGTTCCTCAACATCAACTGTTGAAATGTCCTCGACGTAGTTGGACGGGAAGTACTGCTGGATTCTGGTGCCATAGTCTCCCTTCCACCTGGATAAAAGCAGAGGGCATATCAAGAGCCTTCGCCCGCGGGTATTAATAATCCATTACCGCTCATTAGATCCCAGCTGCTGGCTGGCTGTGATGGGGAAAAGCGGCAACTGGCCAAGTGACCAGAGGGGGCTGTCATTATGTGACAACAGAAGATTTCAAAGGCAGCTTCTGCCTCCTGTTTTAATCACCAGTGAGTTGCTGGGAGCTCGCTGCTCTCCTCGTTGCAACGATGCTGATGTTTAGTCCAAGACACGGAAAGTCAGGCGCTCCTATGCTTCAGTGGAAGTTACAGACCACCCACCCTCTCCGGCTGGCGCCCACCCCATTTCAGGAAGGGCTGCAAACGTAGACATAAAAACCATACAAAGAATGTTCTGGAGCCAGACAGCCCTGAATGAAATGCCAGCTTCACCACAACTATGTAGAATGGGACAAGTAGTCCCCGTCCCTTCAGCTGAAGCACCGCTCCCACACCCATGTGATACCGAGGACACCTGTGGTCCAGCCAGACCCATCAGACTTTGGTACCGCACATTCTCCCAAGTCTCTTCAGGCGGGCAGGCCTCCCCTTCTAGCTTGGCCATCCTACAGCCAGGGGGCTTGTGCCAACATGGACCTCTGACCATGCCACACGGCCCCTCCTAAAAGCCTCCAGGACCCAGACTCCAGTCTGGCAATCAGAGCCCAGCCTAGTATCACCCTGGGACTCGGGGACTCCAGCTTGACGTCTCCAGGCAGCCAGTCTGCCCTGCCATACCACCAGGCCCTTCCTGCACACCTTTCTCCTACTGGACCCTCAGACTCAGCCACCCAGGCTGAGCTCTCCCTGTGCTCCAGGCACCAGCTGTCAGCAGTGGGACCTTGTATCTGCCTCCCTACTATTTGAGACCTTTCTTGATGCTGATCAAATCTCTTCTGTGGTGACAGGAATCACTTTAAATTTGGGCCTGGACAGGCAGAGTGAAGACGGATGGTACCGATGGCCTAGTGACTGCCAGCTCTCAGCCCATTCCACACCCTCCTCCCCTTCATTTCTCCACACCCATCTCAGGTAAAGGCTAGTAAAGGTCACCCTGTATCTAAGGTGACCACACGCACCATCTTCCTAGGGCTGAGCAGTGCCACCTGCTGCCAGGTATAATTATTAGCAACAGTATTCCCTTCACTCTCAAAAGTATCGCCGTTGGAACATAAATTATTTGGTGCCCCTGGCTCTGCAGGAACTAGTCTGGGAGGATGAAGAAAAGTTGGTCCAACACGGGCAACCCACTAGGTGGCACTATGGCCATCAAGGAGTCAGAAGTGACACCTTGGTGGTCAGCTTACCCACAGCCCCTTGCCAAAGGAACTCACGCCAATCTCTCCATTCATTCCAAAGCCTGGGAATTGGAAAACTGAGTTGGGGTCATTATCTGGGCTGTACCCCCACCTCCACAGAAGTCCATCATCTGCCCACCAGTGAGAACTGGGATTCCCACAGAGGTAAGTTCAGGAGCCTCATGGGGAGCACCCGCAGCCCGAGGAGACCAAACTCCTGGCTGTGCCACTCTGAGGGGAGGGATCCCAGCAAAGCTAAGTCCTGCATTGGGAGAGGCAGGTGGACAACACTGTTGACAAGCAGGAGCAGCAGGTGCTGTGGCAGGGACAGAGCCACCAACAGGGAGGAATAACAGGCGGCTCCAAACCCTCACTCCACAGGGAACTCCACTGTTACCTGGATCTCCAGAATAAAAAGCAGTTAACGACTGGTTTGGAGTGAGGGTTCTCCTGGCTTTAAAACAAATTTGAAAATCCCTGGACTGAGGTCCCTTGCTCAAGTCCAGAGAGGGGCCTCACTATGTATGAAACTAGAGTGTAGGCCCTATAATCACCCGCTGTGTGACCCTGGACAACTTACTATACTTCTCTGTGCCTCAGTTTCCTCATCCATAAAAAAACAGGTGCCAACAGAACTCACCATCATGTGGACAAATGAGCTTTCAAAGGAAATGCTTACCATAGTGTTTAACACAGTAAGATCCCAACACGAGATTGTGTTGGATTTCTAAGTCAGGTCTCACTATCATGTTGGGAGAAAGAAATGCCAGTCTAATGTAGTGCTAGAATCTCTGCCAGTGCCCCTGGTCATCAGTGAGTTCTTACTGCTCTCAGGTAAGAAACCACTTGCCTGGGGATGTATCATTAGGCAACAAATTTTTCTTCCAAGGTAAAAGGAGAGAAGACGTAACTAAACCTCAGCAAACCCAGGTTCCCCTGCCCTAGAAAACCTACTTTCCTCAGTTTAGGATGAGGCCATAATACAGAGCACAGGACTAAGCAACAGCCTAGGAATTTGAATTTAACATAACACATGGGCTTGTGTAATGGAAGTGCCTGTTGCTGTGTATCCTTGGGAAGACTCATTGGCCACGTTGTGAAGTGGGGACAATATCAGGCACAGCTCCACAGGATCGCAATGAGAATTTGGTTAGATGATGTGTAAAAGCAGTTAGAGTGCTGTTGTGACGGCAGTGCTACCCGGTAAGTGACCATGTGAACTGTGCAAGATCTGGTAACCGTTAACACCGCGGCTTACCCACTTCCCAGTGGAGGAGCATAGCAGGCCAAAATCGGCCCAGGAGGTCAGACAAGGGGATCAGAGGTCAGCCAGCCCTGAGTGGCACCCACCTGCCAAGCATGCCAGCCACCCCCACCAGCCTTACCAGCCCCCGGGCTCCTTGGAGACGTTGTGGATGAGGGCCCCACGGCAGAAGCTCAGCTCGTCACTTCGCTTGGCTTTGTAGTCGTACAGAGCTTTCACGGTTCTCTGAGGCTTTCGGGGAAACGGGAAGGAAAAGGTCAGGCCGGGTGACAGCCGCAGAGAAGAGGCAACATCACTGGCAGCTGTGAGGCTCCTCTTAGGAGCAGAAGGCTTCAGAGGCCAGGATGACAACGCCACCTGCTGGCCAAAGGGCAGCACTGCAGGGGAGCCAAGGCCCAAATGTCCCCGGGAGGCACTGACAATGGCCTGAGCTGGGTGTGACCCAATATTGCTCAGATTCCTCAACAAGAGAGGACACAACTTTCAGATCACACCACAAGCACCACCTCTGAGCTCCTCAGAGGATCGCTCTGCCCCAGGTGCCCCCAGAAGTTAAGGACAGTCCCATTTCCGGGCCATCCAGGGCCGCACCGCTGTTCTCACGAGGCGGGTGGCCCTCTAACCAGCCTCAAGGCCTGACGCTTTACTGGAACAGCTGAGGCGCTGCTCCATGAAACTCATCAGAAGTCAGCTCTTGTTGACAGGAACAAGACAGGACTTAAGATACCATCTTTCTTCAAAGAACTTGCTGGATGCCTGCTGCTTGGCAAGCAGAAGCCCAGACAAAACTACACCCTTGTGGCAAGAAAGTCTTCATGGGCAGAACTGTCGAGTCTGCCTAGATCTAGGGCTTCCCTTTCTCTCACCCAAGGAAAATGGGAACAGGGAGCAGGGAACCCGCTCCTCGAGGCAGACAATGGTGTCGACACGCAGGTTCCAATAATCACTCTGCCCCTTCCTGGCTCTACATTTAAGGCTTACTAAGGCTCAGTTTTCCCACCTGTGAAATCAGAATTAAAATTTTACATACCAGGTTTGCTGAGACTATTAAATGAGGTACTGCATGTAGTGACAGAAATGACAATCGCCTACCACCCCATCAAGATAGACCTGTTCTAAGCCTGTTTTACCTACGGTGTCTCCTTTAGCTCTCACAACTACCCCAATAGGAAGGTAGAAGTGGTAGTATGCAGGTTTTACAGAAGAGGAAAATGGGGTACAGAGATGACCTTGGATGATCTGCCCAAGGTCAACAGTTGGTAAGCCCCTGAGCCCAGAACTGGATCAACTAGCGTGGGTTGTTGCCATAGTCCATGATGTTCCATAAAAAGCAACGAGGGTTCTAGAAACTCAGGACCTCCAAAAAGAGGCCACCCAGACCTCCTGCCTTTCTCTCCTCACTGCAAATGGAGCAGGCTCTACCTGGGCACTCTGCTTCCAGGCAGGTGGAAGGACCAGAGCTGGGCTCAAGGCTCAGTGGGAAGCAGCCTGTGGCAGAGGGAAGTGCCACTTGGCTTCTATGAGGGGGAAGCCTCCAGCCCGCTGGGTGGCAAGAGAGGTCCCGATAAGCTACAGAGAAAGCAGCCCTTCCCCAGATGCCCAAGTAGGCACATGGCAGGTCAAATGGCTAAGAGCCAGGCTGCCCAGGACCAGAGTCCAGCGCCACGCCACTGCTCTCCTGGCAGTTAACCTTGAGGTACCTCAGTTCCCTCCTTTGTAAAATGGGCATCAAAATAAAACCTGCCTCGTGGGGCTGTCGTGAGAGCTAACGGTCTAGCCAGTGCCTGGAATGTGGTTACCTAGGGTTATTGATCTGTCCTCCAGTTTCAAGAGCTTACCCAAGAAAAAGAATGCAAAACATGCCGGGAGCCTCTGCGTGAAGCGACTCATTTTAGTATTAACTAGAACAACAAAGACCAGAAATGACTCAGTGGCCACTGATGGGAAAACAGCTAAGTGAGCAGAATCGCCAGAATATTTCACAGCATTAAAAACATTTTTAGGTTAAATTCCAATATAGAGATTTTGCTTAAATTGCTCAGCCTACCAGGTTTGACAAAATGGTCGCTAAGAGATGAGCAAATGAAACCTAAGACGGAGCAGCAAGGAGGGTCAACACAAGGCACAGGTGGCACCGGGGGTCACCGCTCCTCTCCTCCACGTGCTTTCTTTCCTTCCATCAGTTTTCCACGTGACAGTAGTAATTTTACTTGGAGGTGCTGATCACAGGTGGCAGTTTGGATCAAGTGCTGCATTCAGGGGCTTCTCACGGCTCACACGGTGGAAGACGAGACTGTCTCTACCCCTTGGCTTAGTTGCCAGAGTTTTAAAATTAGGAGATTTCATGTGAAACACACAGATTACTGGCTTGTCCCAAGAAATCCGAAGAGCCGAGCTGCCCGCCCGCAAGGCAATGCCAGCGGCTGCTGTGGAGCAGTGCCCTTGAGGCAGCGAGCGTCCCTCAGAGGACAGCAGGCTCCGTCACCCCTGCCGACCAGCTGCCGAAAGGCCAAATGCCAGTCGCCATTCATCACCACACTTGCACTATTTTGTCACTGTCGCGGAAGATTTAAAAGAAATATTTCTTACGCCCGGACAGCTCCACTCACCCATGTTATCTGCCTGACCTTCACGGACATGTGAGCCGGCAGCCCCTGCCTTAGGAAATCACATTTAAAAGGAAAATGAGAGACTCAGCCCCGCAAAATAAACTCCAAAGTACACCCCGTCAAGGGCAAAGACGAACAGGCCCCTGGCCACTGCTCCAGAGGGCCCCAGTCAGATGTCCAGAACCTGTACGTCGGGCAGAGGGCGACCGTTCTCATTTCCCAGTGTTCTTCAGTGCTAACCAAAGTCTCTGAGGCCAGCTGGTGCAGGCCGACCAGCTCCTCAGGACTTCATCACTTGCTCAAGATTTGCATCAGCCAAGGATGAGAAATTTTTAAAAAAGAAAGAAAAGGGCAGGGAAGGAAGAGAGGAAAGAAGAAAAAAAATCCATCTGTATTTAACAGAGGCCACCAGCAGGCTGCTTCCTAGGCAGGGGCTGCACACCAGCCAAGGGCCAGTCTCCCACACAGAAAACCCACTGTGGCTCTCCCTCCACCTGCTCAAACCACATGTGAGACAAAACCAGAGCGAGGAGGAGCAAGGAGCAAAGGCAGACCTCATGCCCACCTGTTTGGAGGTTCATAAGAGCCAGGTGGGAAGGCAAGATAGCGTCTGCATCGAGGAGGTCAGAGAACCAGACAGAACACACACCACAGGCTCAGTTGGCTAGAAAAACACATTTGAAAGACTTCTAATTGGAAGCCATTTGGCCCAAAGGTGGTTCATCAAACCTCAGAGTTTTAGCAAGGCCCAGATGCATGTGGATGGATTCTATTAACCTTTGCCCTGAAACCAATCATCCTTTCTATTAAAAAAAAAAAAAAAAAGTATGTGTGTGTGTGGAGAGAGAGAGAGTGTATGTGTGTGTGTGTGTGTGTGTTTGGAGAGAGAGAGCATGCGCGCCCGCACGCATGCGCACGCCAGGTTTTCCAGAACCTTCTCTGGTCCTGTATAATTGCCATGGGGCAAGCAGGACCTTACCATAGAAGGGTTGATTTCACTTGGGTCCACGTACATCCTGCTGACATCGTAGAGGGAATTTATATCTCTTTCCTGAAAAAAGAGAGAGAGAAGTCAGTGGACGGCACTGGCTCCGGAATAGCCCTTGGACACAGCAAGGGCTACAGATGTCCTGGCACTCACCCGAGGGGAGGGTAGAAATCGCACAGAACTTACTGTGGCTCATGGGTAGAGATGGTTAAAAGCTACAGAGAAGTTCTCCCAAATTTGGGAACCTCCCCCAAATCACAGGGGCCCTGTGCTGGCCTACTGTGTGCCAGGCACTGTGTTTCCCTGTAAAAACATAAACCTGAAGATCCAACTGTGGAGGGAGCTCTTGGCTCACAGAGCCACCAGCATGTCTTCTCCTGTCCTTGAGTTCAAGGAAGGCACACAGAAGCTTGAAATCAGCCACCGAGGAAGGATTTACACCACGGAAACTGGCACACGCTACAAAGCGGGGCCTTCTTCCCAGAGCCTCTGCCGAGTCCCACTTCCCGCCTCTGTTCCCCCTCCCACTCACCCCAGCGGGCTGCCAGCCTCTGTCCATCAGCAGCCTCAGGGACCTGCGGTGGCCACTCCCTCTACCTGGTGTCGCGGCTCCCTTCACACCTCCCAGGCTGACCCACTGGGTTTCAGCTCACATTCTCAGCCACTTCAGTCCACCTCCTCTGACCGCCTGCCGCAGCGCCACCCTCCCCACGCTATCCATCATCACTTGCTTCACTGAAAACATGCCATGACCTCACTGTGCTGGCTCTCTCCCCTCTCCAGAACCTCAGTTTCCCAAGGGCAGGCTTTGCTCCCAGCGTCTACAGCAGTCCCTGGCACAGTCAGGACCGTCCACCTTTTTTCGGCAAATTAATAAACCCTTCCCAGAGGAAGTGAGCCACAGTAATCACAGCAGATTTACGCTCTGCTCAAAACCCTCCAATGGGGCTGGGGATGTGGCTCAAGCGGTAACACGCTCGCCTGGCATGCGTGCGGCCCGGGTTCGATCCTCAGCACCACATACAAACAAAGATGTTGTGTCCACTGAAAACTAAAAAAATAAAATAAATATTTAAAAAAAAAAAAAACAACCCTCCAATGGTCGGAACACAAGCCAGTGACTCACAATGGCCTACCAGGCCCTACCTGGACCGGCCCCACACTGACCCATCCTTATTAAATTCTACCCCTACCTGGGCACACTTGATTCTAGCCATGCCAGCTTCCCCTCTGTGCCTCCAGGCAGGCTCATACCTCAGGACCTTCACACCTGCTGTCCTTTTTTCCCCCAGATACTGCATAGCTCATGCCAGGCCCTTTGAAAACTAAAACCTCCCCCTTAGTATTCTGTATGCTCTTACCCAACTGCCCATCTTTCTCCTGAGCATTTATCACTGACGCTTGCTACGTATATTTTCTTATTTATTGTCTACCTCCTCCAAGCTAGACTGTACGCAGCAGGAGGGCAGGATCTTTGTGTTCCTTTTGGATCCTCAGACTTGCAGCAGCTGCAGACACACAGTAAGTACTCAAAGTTATGCCAAAGGAATGAACAAAATCACAAGCTGGCCACCTACCATGTTGTAGCGCTCCAGCAGCTCAGGGGTCACAGGGTAGCGCAGGCGCATCTTCCGGTACAGCGCGTGCTTCTCATAGTAATTAACAAGTTCCACGAGGCTCTCGAAGTAGGCAGAGGTCCCCAGCACAAAGTGCCGGCCGTCCCGGTTGATGCGACAGTGCTTCACCTTGCCCCTGGCCCTAGGGGAAGGGGGAACCATGTGGAGTTGGCACACCAAGATTCTGATGGCCATACACTCGCTGTATAGGCCCTGCCCACTAGAAACCACCTGGGCATCCACCCTGAGGGGACTGGGTCAATAAACAGTGGCCGCCCTCCTACAGAACACAAGACTGCACTGGAAACGACAGTGTGGGTCTTTCTGCACCAGATCTGGCTCCCTGTCCATCACAGGCTTGACTGTGGAAACCCCCAAGGTGTCCAGACCAGGGGTCGGCGCCCAAAGACCCGGGGGCCAAGTCTGACTCACTGTGTGTTTTTGTAAATAAAGTTTTATTGAAATATTTACCATTCATTTGTTTATCTACTGTGCACAGCCACGCTGTCCCTAGAACAGCAGGGCTGAATGGCTGCCAGACAGACCACGTGGCCTGCAAAGCCTCGAGAAAATTGCTGATGCCCACTCTAGACCTCTGGGACTAGAGTGAATCCAAATGTGGCCCAATAAGGTAACTTCGGAATTACTTTTCAAAAAGGAAATGGGTTTTCTGTTTTTTCATGCATTTGAAAAAAGAGGGAAAAAAAATCCAAACAGAACACTCTTCAGTCTCATTAGCTCTTCTAAGAACAGAAACATTTTGAAAAATAAAATTTTGATCTTAAATTTACAGCCAAGAAGATCTTATAAAAACAAATGGGTTTTTTTGTTTTTGTTTTTGTTTTTGTTTTTTTTTAAGTCTACCCTGATGTGCTCACCAAGGAGGTGATAAAGTGTAAGGTGACAGATATGTAGTCACCCTGAGTTTGCTGCCACCCAAGGAATATATGAACCAAAACATCACGATCTCATAAACAGGTACAAATATTATGTGCCAATCAAAAACTCTTAAATTTTTTTAAAGTCTATTCTAAATAGACAAAGCAATTTTGAGCAGAAATAACAAAGCTGCACTTCACACTCTTTGACTTCAAAACATACCCCAGCTCTTGTCATCAAAACAGGATGGTGCCGGCAGAGAAGCAGAGCCCTAGACCAGCGGAACAAAATAGCCCAAAAGTAAGACCAGGCACTTATGGGGAATCGATTTTCAGAAGAGAGGCCAAGGACACACAATACAAAAGGAACAGTTTCTTCAATCAACGGTGTTGAGAAAACTGGAATCCAACACACAGAAGAATGAAATAATCACCCCAAACAGACTTGAATGTCAGATCTGAAGCTGTAAAACTACCAGAAGGAAACATAAGGGAAAGCCCGGGGCACTAGTTTGGACACTGATATTTTATATACAACCCTAAAAGCACAGGCAACAAAAGGAAAAACCAGACAAATAAGGAAACATTTGCAACCTGAACATCCAATAAAGTGTTAGTATCCAAAATACATAAGAAACTCAAATAACTCAATGATGACAAACTGATTTTTAAAAGGGCAAAGTATCTGAATAAATATTTCTCAAAAGACATATAAACGGCCAACAGGTATATGGAAATGTCCAACATCACTAAAAATGTAAATTAAAACCACAAGAACATCAATATTAGCTCACACCTGTTAGAAAAGCTATTACCAAGAAAAGATGAAAGCGAAGTCCTCTCTGGACCTCTGTCTCCTCACTGGTAATACCTGTCCCTGCCCATCACAGGCTGCAGTGAAGGGCTCATTCAGATGGGACCTCGGAGGCCACCCAGTTCAGGGACAGTCAGGAACTCAGTGGATGGCATGACATCACCATGAGCACAGAGCTCAAGGAAACCTGAGGCTGGGAGGTGGCAGGCCAGCATGACGCCTGGGGTCTGAACACCAACCCTCTCCCCCATCACTGGTGGGAGGGGAACTGGGGGTGGAACTAGAGAATCACAGTCCTGGAGATGGCTGGGTGGCAGATGCTGAGGGGCTCAGGCCAGAGCTATGACATCACACATCTAGGCTGTCTGGGTTCAAACCCCAGGCCCCTGCTGCATGCTTCTACAAATACTTACCCTCCCTGTGCCTCAGTTTCCACCTTGGAGAAACAGGGTAATGCCAATGCCACAAAGAGCTGGCACAGAACGTAGGCAGTGTCTGGGACACACTAGCACATGTGGCGCTTGCTGTTATCCTAATCATCAATGCTGCTGAAGCTGGGGAGAGAACCCCATCACGCAGGTCTCTTCCAGAAGCTCCCTCTTGTGTCCCTTCCTTACCTCCCCCTGCCACGCCTACCTGAAGGTGATGGCATAGGAGTCGGTCCCCTCCCGCCGTCTCCGGATGAGGAAGGCTCCATCACGGGGAATCCTCATCAGCATGTCCTCTGCTTCTCCACGGCTCAGCCTGTCATAGTACCAGCTGTGCCCAGGACACAGAAAAGAGCCAGGTGAGGGCCTCTGGGATGCTGAGCTGGCCACCCACAAGGGATGAAATAATGGGCTCCAGGGAGTCCTGGAATTTGTCCCTAGAAACAGCCATGGGAATCACACTGGCACTTCCCTGGCCATCCGCAGCTCTGAGGACAGTAATTTTTTAAAAGAACACTGGAAGACTGAATGGGTTGGCCCGAAGGACAGAAGAATAAACCCACTGATCTTCACCACCCATCCAGCCCAGTCTAAAAGGCCAGCCTCAACAAGTGGGGCAGAAACCATAGCAGGTCTCAGGAAATCTGAGCAGAGCGCACAGGGGGTTCTGGGGAGACTTTGCTTGGGTCTTGGTTATTTTATCATATGTGAAATATCAAGTTTTAAAAGGCGACCCAAATGAAAACAGACAGGAAAGGTAAAAAAAAAAAAAAAAAAAACTTAAGTTATTCTTCTTCCTCAGAAATAGAATTCTGCTTAAAAGTTATTTACACACTGTGCTGGCCTTTTGCAAGACATAACTTGAGACTCACTTTGCTAAATAAAGAAATGAGGGAAATACCCTTACCATCATTTGCCTTTCCTGTTCAGTGTCAGAGTGAGCTTTGACAGGACAAAGGACATCATTGGGCCAAATTTCACCTCTAGAACGAAGTCCAAGACCTCAGGACTAGCATAGAAAGGAAAGCGAAGGAAGGAGACAGCGGGGGAGGGGAGGAGACAGAGAGGGCCAAGGCCATGGCCAGCCGCCTGGCACCTAGTGGTTCAGAATTCTCGTGGTCCCTGGGACAGGCACAGCCCCCTGGCTGGCTGCTCCGACCTGTGGACCCGCCCCGGGGCCTCCCACCCGCCGGGGACCTACGGCTTGGACTCGTGCGGGTTGGGGTTGGGCACGGGGTCGGTGAGCCGCAGCTCGAACTCGGCGCAGCGCAGGTGCGACTCGCGGTAGTGCTGGACGAGCGCGTAGATGCTGTCGAAGGTGAGGTTGTCGGTCAGGTAGTACTTGAGGACCCCGCCCTCGGTGGTGGAGCGGATCCGGCAGTGCTGCACGCGGCCCGACCGCCTGCGGGGACGGGGGGGGGGGGGGGGGGGGGGACGACCAGGTCAGCGCCCGCCCACTGCAGGCCCCCGGCCATCCCCCCAGCTCCCGGGAGGGCGGGCCGGGAGGTACCAGAAGGACAGGGTGTAGTCGTTGGGGAAGGTCTCGCTCTCGCGCACCAGGAAGGTGCCGTCCTTGCCGCCGCTCTCGGCGCAGTACTCCTGCAGCAGCTTCTCGGCGCTCGTCCTTCTCTCCACCTTCTTGTGGAACCATTTCTCCCCAAAGTGCAGCTCCGTGGGGGGCGTGTCCTGGCCCGCAAAGAAGAGGGGGTGCTTAGGATGGCTCCCGCTGCCCTCCCCTGCCTTCTCCTCGCAGCTCCCATCTGCGCTGGCCTCTTGGAGTCCTGAGACATGGGGTCAAAGGTCCCCAGTAAAGGCCTCGATTCTGCTCTACAGGAAGTTGAGAGCCACACTCTGGGGAGTATGGGGTACGGCCAACAGCTGGACACGGCCAGAAAGGCCAGGGGACACAGCAAGAGAGTATCCAAATGTCCATGCACTCCCTGGCCAGCGAAGGCCACCATCTAAGGCCAATTGGGTCCTGGAGACAGCAGGAAAGAGTCTTGAATCTTACTGGTTAAGCCCCTGGGCCAGCCAGCCAATCAGAGAAGAACCAGCAAGGCTCTGGTACCCAAAGAGGAAGCTCGGAGGGATGAGGATCCTGAGCCCATCCAACATCGGGATAAAAGACCACATGGCACCAGGGCCCAGCAAGAAGGCAGTCCAGGGGAGTCGACAGGAGCAGCGGGGTCTCCGCCTACCTGGGGCAGTTCATCCTCCACAGTCTGTTCAATGTCGTCACTGAAGGACAGCTTGGCATCGGCAATGGCGCAGTAGTGCCGAGTCCATTTCTAGAGGGCAAAGTTGGCATCAGTCCCCCAAGGTCTCCACCCCGTCAACTCTGGGGCCCAGGGCCCTCCCCGCAGGGCACCTCCCCAGCATTCACTGGGGATTCCCCCTCCCAGGTTCAGACATTTATGGTGCTTTCGATGATTCTGTTCCCCTCTGAGACATTTCTTTTTTGAGACATCTATTTTTTACTTCTTTTATCATTCTCGGGACTTTTTAAATCAGTGTGTCTAGGAGTAGATACGACTTAATGTCAAATTTTCTCCTGCATATTTAATTTGCAGCCTTTCATGATGTGGATGGGATTATTTCATGCCCCACATGACTATCTTTTCCTGTCGCGTCTACTTTAAGATTTTTCTGGATTTTTCAGCCAGTGAGTCTAAAGATATTTTCTGCAACATTTAATTATGACTTTTTATTTACCATAAATTTTAACCACCTTTATGTTTATTTCTAGAAATGTAAGAACAGATACATAAAAATACACCCAAATGGATTTGCCTGTTAGGTTAAAGGACACGAGAAGAGGCCCTAACAATTTTAAATGCCTTACTCACACAAAAAATAAGATTTCTAGTGGAACTATTCCAGCTTGGAGGACAACTAAATATAGTGCCATGGGGAACAGAGAAAGGACGTCAGCAGACAGACTTGTAAAGCTGAAATAAGGTAAGTTAGCTAACAGTATTATACCATTGTTAATTTCCTGGTTCTGATCATTATACTGTACAGGGTTGTGCAGAAGCTCATATTTGGAGAAACTGGGTGAAGGATATATGGGAGTTTTTCAACTACTGTGTAAATACATATTACATTCAATATAAAAGTATTTCAAAATAAGACAAAAATGCAAATGGAAAAGTTTAATTGGCTTAAAATGGGAACAAGATAGGCACAATTTCAGAGTCCCCCAGTGGGGCTCTAAGAAGGGTGCAGAAAGCCACATCCACAGTGCACATGGGAAGGGACCCAGGCCCACCTGGTCGATGGAATCCCACATGTACAGTTCACCCTGCTGCTTGCGCTCTTCTTTCTTGTCCTCCACATTGACATCAACGTCACCTCGAGGGCCCAGCTTCTTATGCTGAAGGAAAAGAAATTCACACAGTCTCTCTCAAAACCCATGTTGAAAATCTGGAACCCGCGAGAACTCCTCCCCATCAGCCAGCCAGCTACCGCCACCTGCATCCTCCTGCCTCAGAGCTTTGGCTCTGTCTGTTCCGCTGCCTGGTCATCTCCCACTGCATTCAGCTCTGTCCTCGGGGCTTTGTCCTTAGAGGGGCCGTGCCTACCACTCGGTCCAAAAACAGGCCACACCACCTTCCCATCCCTGCCACCCTCCAACCCCAGTCCTGCTCTGTTTTTCTCATATTCTTGGCCCCAAGGACATCTGCTTGTCTTTAGTCTAGTTTTGTGTGTGTGTGTGTGTGTGTGTGTGTGTGTGAGAGAGAGAGAGAATATAAGCCCTTGAGGCAGAGATTCTGTTCTGCTTCCTGTTGAGTTGTGTGCTAGAACAGCACTTAGAGATAGTAAGTACTCAACAAATGCACAGAGAACAGTCACTACCTCATGTGCTCAGGTGAGCCAGGAACAGAGAGGAGCAAATGAGCCAGGCCCCCTGAAGCCCCACCTGCCAGATGCTGAGGGAGCCCTGGACCCCTGCCAGCCAGACCCCCATGCACCTGGTCCGCCTTCACCATGCAGGGAGTGTTTCAGTGACAACCGCCCGAGGAGCCCGTGGCGTTGACCCAACAGTCCCAGTGCACTGACACTCTTACCCACAGGACACCAATATCCCCTCATCCGGTGGGCTTGATGAAAGCCCCCTCACACTGTCCAGTCTCTCTCTGTTGGCAGATCTGTCCCCCACAATACCAGACCTCCTACAACAGAGGGACTGTGCCCAGTGTTTGTTGGTGACCCAGTGACAATTTAGGGAATGTGCCATGTGCTGGCATGGCCATACCCTCACATTTGTTATTTCCCCCATCTGGAAGGGTATCCCCCCTTCCCTGCCTATTGCTGTAGTTTGAATGTTTGGGTCCCCCCCCCAATTTATATGTTGAAACCTAATCATAATGTGATGGTATCAGGAGGTGGGCCCTTGGGAGGAGTAAGATCCCGGGGTAAAGATGGCATGAATGGGATTAGTGCCCTCCTAGGAGGTCCCAGAGAGCTGCCCTGCCCCTGCCACCACATGAGCACAGCAAGAAGTTGGCAGTCTACACCCAGAAGAGGGCCTTTGCAGTGCTACCCTGACCTCAAACTTCCCAGCCTCCAAAACAGTGAGTGGGAAGTTAATTTGTTGATAGACACTCAGCATATGATACTGGTTACAGCAGCCCAAACAAGTGCCAAGGTGGACCAAGGGACCTGGTGAAGACCTGTCCATCCTTCCCTGTGGCCTTGCTAGTTGTCTACAAAATCCATCTCCCTCCTAACAGCTGCCAGGTACAGCATTCAGATTTGGCCCCCATTGGATGGTCATGCACAGAGTTCACATGCACTGACCATGAAAGGAAGAGCCATGGACAACAGACAGCTCTTGCTCACAGGAAATGCTCTGCCCCAGAGGCCCAGCATGCCGCCCTGAGTGAGCTGGACTCAGACATGCCAAGCCTCAGCTCCCCCACAAAGGAGGACCAGGCTCCTGGGCAGACTGTCCTCATTTTTGTGCTGTGGGGAAAACTACAGATCCCATTCTCAGAATGTTAACAATGCATACAATTTTAAGGGAAGCCAATTATACTGAAATACAATTATTAAGATAGTAAATAAAAAATAATTCAATATAGTAATAGGCATGCTTCCTCATTAGCATCTTAAATAAGATGCACAGGCAGATCTAATCACCTCCATAATTCCCACATGGTAACAAACACAATGTTATTTTGAGATATCTGCAATAACTGAATGTGATATGAAAGTATCTGTGCCTTCCTTCTGCTGGTGACAAAGCCCAGGTGGCCTGCTGCTGACACTCACAATGGAAGGAAGCCCCGAGCTTTACAGACCGGTTCCAAAAAGAAGATGCAGCGTTTCCCCCTCAAGTTCATTTGCCCTCCCCCATCCTAGCCAGGGGCTCTTCGGGATCTGTAGAGCCCTAGCTAAACCCCTTGGGAGATGGGAGAGTAGGTGGTGAGGGTCTTGGGTCACCTTGCAGGCTGGACCTCAAAGCTCCTAGAACATTCTCCTTCAAATGAATAAGAAATGGTTTCAAATACTCTAAGCCATTGCTTCTGGTCTCCATCCTATTAATACAAATACCCCAATGTTCCCTTGGCATCACTAGGCCCAGGACCGTCGTCCCACAGTATCCACCTCCTTCACAGGCCTGGGGACTGGATGATTGGAACAGCTCCTGGGGTCACTTGGAGAGGGGCGTGGTGCCAAAGAACAAATGAGCAATCACAGATTCCTATTAGACCAATCACCAGTCAGTGCGTGGAGAGCACCTGCGCGGGACGTAGCCGCAATTGCTAGTGCACCAAGGCGAAGGAGATAGGTTCTACATTACCCCTGAAACCCAGGGGGACACAGAGGCACCTCGAGGGTAAGTGGCCTTCCCAAGGCCATGAAGTTGGTAAGGAGAGCAGCACCTGGAGCAAGGCGGCCTACCTTGATGATGATCTTCTCCCGCAGCTGGCTGGGCGACGGCAGCTGGTCGGCACTGGCCTCCGTGGGCTTTGTCAGCAGCTGGTCGCCAAACACCTCCTTGAAGACCTTGGCCATGTGGCGCTGCTGCTCCACGCAGCAGTGCTCCTCGATGGACAGGATCAAAGGGAAGCTGCAGCAGTAGGGCAGGGTCAGTTCAGGAGCGGGGCGGGCACCTCCACGGCTGCCCCACACGGACCCATGACGCCTGCGCCCTGGCTCAGCCGAGGAGGTGGACACCGCGCCAGAACTCAGGCCCTGCTGACCCCAGAGCAATCATCAGCCACTTTCCTATGTTCATTGTGTCTAGGTACAAACTACAGCAACTTTTCTCGGTGCTTTTCTTTTAACTTATGCACATCTTTAAATTTAAAAAAATAAAAATAAAAAAGCCCCCGAAGTTTTAGCTTCTAACCTACAAAAGAGGTGAAAACACAGTACAATGAGTACTCATGTGTCAACTAGAGGCCCCAGTGTTAGCATTTTCCTGGGTGCACCTGCTTATCCTATTTATTTTTTCCCATTTTTATAAAGTGTAATTGTTTCGTTATGTTCATTTATCACACGTATGTGCATTGTATGCACGTGTATATACTGATATATTATTTGTGTATGTGTGCATCATGCACATTTTGTGTGTGCAGGTACAGCTGAATCTCATTGTCTGTGGGTGCCATGGTCCATGAGTCACTGCCAACACTGACCTGAGCCATCTGCTCCTCAGGGGAAAGACTGGCTTAGAATCTTTCAAGCCTTTGGTCACATTTTTATCAACTGTTAATTTGAAGACCTTTTTTAATGAGCTTCTGTTTGAAGACACCTCATTCAGTATATCCTGCTGACTCATTAACAGAACTAGAAGTTGTGCTTGAAGGCAGCTGATCTATCACATGGATTTTCGGGCACATCACAGCCTTCTTGTTCTCAGGAACCCCACCCAGCACTTCTGCCCTGTGCTTGGGGCCACTTCAAAAGGTGAAGTCACCAGCCAAAGTTCAAAAATATGAAAAACATGGCATGAGAGAGACGACCAAAAGGACACTTGTTTGCATTTCAAGGACTGAAAACAAGAAGGCAAAGCATCTCTGCATCTGAGCTGGGCACGTGCGCATCAGATGACTCAAATTTCCCACCACTTGTCATATGCCCAGAAATGACCTCAAAAGTGCTTTGCAATTTGGAGTTAGAAATAAATTTTAGAATACAGAAGCCACCAATAAGAACTGATTTTATATGTGTGTGTATCATTTGAACAAGTATATCTATGCCTATATATGATTTGTAATGTGCCCAAGGTACATACATGCACACATTTACATTTTTTCCTGAGCCATTTGAAAGGAGGCTCAGAAATCCCCCCACCTATATCTGCTAAGAACCAGGCCACTCTCCTGCCTGCCCACACCACCATTACTGAACTCAGGAAATTATCATTAATTCAATATCACTGAATAGATAGTGCATACTCAAATTTCCCCAACTAGTGAAGAAATGTAATATATAGCTAGGTTCTTTCCATCTAGAATCCATCTGAGGTTTGTGCAATGCATTTATTATGAAGCAAAACTATTTCGAAGGCAGGTGTGTCTCTACCATAAATAGGAAGCCGCAGCACCAGTGGAAAGCAGAGTACACATGGAGGGGGGGGGGCTTTAAAATAAAATCATTTAGCCATGTTTCACCTCAAGACAATCCTGGGAAACACAGATTTAAGCCCCCATCCTGGTCCACACAGCCGAGCTTCCAGAACAAAGAAGACACAGAAAACTCCATTGGGAGCCAACTCTGAATGGAATGGATGCTGCTTATAATCTTTTTAAAAATCCTTCTTAATATGAACACTCATCCATTTTACCACAAAACAATGTATTTGACTATAGGGTCCAGCCTTGCAGGTCCCCTTTTTGACCACAAAGCCCTCCCCCAGCTATGAGCAAGGCCATGCCCTGTGACTGCACAGCCACTCCCAGCCACAAGCACTGTGAAATCAAAGCATTCTCCCCAAGAAGTCTGCTATGGCATGAAGGCTGAATGTCCCCAAAGGCTTGGTCCCCAGGTGGCAGATCAGAGGTGGAAACCTTTAAGAAATGGGGCCTAGTGGGAAGTCCTTAGGTCTCAGGAGTGAGCCCTTGAAGGGGACTGTGGGACCCTGGCCTCCTCTTCTTCCTCTTTGCTCCCTGGCTCACCATGTAAGTGGTCTTGTTCTGCCATGAAGTGCTGCCTCACTACAGCCCAAGACAACGGGGCCACTCATGGCCTGGAACCTCCAAAACTTGAGCCAAAATAACCCTTTTCCCTTTATAATTTCATTATCTCGGATATCTTGTTACAGTGACAAAAAGCTAATAGAGTCTGATTGATTTCACCATCTCTGTTAACTCGGGGTCCTTCATGGCTTCACAGACAGTGGAAGTCAGCACAAGCAAGGGCTGAGGCTCTTGGGAGAGAGGCCGAAATGCAGACTGTGTGTGCACTGATTTGAAGGTTTCCTACTGTTGGGAGTCGCCCCAGCTCCAAAGACTAACTTCCCCATCCTCCCCAGAAGAGCTGTCCAATGGTGAGCCCTGCTGGCTCACATGATCCTTACCCACCAATCAGACTAGCCCTGCTGGCTCACATGATCCTTACCCACCAATCAGAAAGCACCCCATGCCAACTGTCAAACCCTTCAACCATTAAACTGTCATAACTGTCAAACCACCCCCGGCTCTATAAATATGCAGAGCTGTTCCTCAATGAAGGGGCATTTTCTCCAACAGCAAGCCTTAATCGTTCTTTCACCTACCAGGTAGGAAAAAACACTCAGACACAGTGCGAGAACTGGGTAGATATCACCGTGTCTAGTCTTCACTGCCGCCCTGTGAGGTACGCGTAATTATCACCTCTGTTTTTAAGATGTGGGAACCACAGCAGTGAACGGTGAGTGCCTATCAGGTTGCTAATGAACAGAGCGGGATTCAGACTCCGAGAGAGATCCCAGCGTCCCTTCTCATGGTGCTGTTACCCGCCAGGAACGTCAAAGAGAGCATCACGCCACTGAGGCCACCGTGGACCTCTCACCAGCCCCTGGTAGTGACTTTGGCCAAGAGGAGGTGCAGACCCACAGTGTTTGGGGAAGGAGGGGGTGGGCAGTTCAGTGTGTGTGTCTGTCTGTCCCACACTAGCCACTTTCCCTTAAAGGCAACTGGCCAGCTGACCTGGAGGCAACGAAGGCGTGGTCTTTGATGGCCTGGACGACGTCATCAAACTTGATCTTGGTGGTCCGCGTCCAGCCGTGGTAGATGATGGGCTTCCCGTCAGGCCCGTCCCAGCAGTCCACTACGGGAGAAACAGGGCAGCTCAGCAGCAGCCATCCGGGCCAAGGGCAGCAAGGTCAGGGCTGCTCCCACAGCAGCCCAGGGACCAGGACTCCGAGGAGCACCCCCAGGCACACAGGGATTCACCGTGTACCTGGGGTTACCCGCCCACTCATAAAACCCAATGCTTCTCCAAAGAGAAATAGTCCCAACGCCTCTTTTTACTAAGCTCTCCACAGTGTGTCTGCTTTTCCCACGTCCCCTGGGGAAGCCTTGCTTGCCTCTCGGCCAGTGAAGTAACAGAGGGCATGAAAAGACCGTCAAAGGTTCAGGTGAAATATTCAAACAGAAGCAGACTATGGAGGTGAGCGACCCCCAAATTTTCAACCCCCCCCTCACCTAAGCTAAGAGCTTCTGACTTATTTTTTCACATTTGCTTTTTGGGAGAATCTATAGAATAATTACTACTAAACTTGATACCATGGTGAGTGTTTTTGGTAACACTGGAATCTGAACCCCTGGTTTATGCCTTCTTCCAGCCAAATCCACTGCTATGCTGTCCCAAACACATCAGTGTTAGAGGCTTGGTCCCAGGGTTGAGGGGAGTGCTAATCAGAGGGGACAGGGCCTTTAGGAGGTGTGGCCTAGGGGGAGGTCTTCAGGTCACTGAGGGCATATCCTTGAAGGGGACTGTGGGACACAAGCCCCTCCCTCCTCCTAGCACATGATGTGAGAGGGTTTGCTCCACCATGCTTTCCCTCCATGATGGGCTTCATCTGAGCTGTGAACCAAAATAAACCTTTTGTCTTTATAATTATGACAGGCCTTTTGCGACAGTAAGCAGAAGCTGACTAATACATCTGCCTAGGAACCTTTGAGATTAAGTGAGGCTGGAAGGGAGAAAGCCAGACAGATGACAAAAAGGCAGCACAGAAATAAGGCCTCTGCCATCAGCCCAGCCATGGAGGCCCTGCTTGTCCTTTCCATAAATGCTCACGAATGCCCCAATAGTGGTGAGACGCGGTGCCTGGGCACACGGGAACCAGTGCTAGAAGTAGAGGGCATTGACTTGCCTTCTCTTAAAAGCAGGGGGTGGCCCAGCCTCCCACTCTTTTGGGACACTCTCTGGGTGCCCAAAGCATTCTGGGCGAGGCTTGAGTAGTCATTCCTTGACTCGGGGACAGACAGGTGTCTTCCAGGGAAAGGTCCTTGCCACTTCCCTCACTATAGGTACTCCTGGCACCAGGCCTCCCTCAGCCTGTCCAGCTTGTCTCTGATTCAGCCCTTTAAACCCAAAAAGCTCCGAGCAGCTAGAGAGGCAGTGGCCCCAGTGGCTGTGCCACTTCCTCCAGGACGGGCTACTCACGTTCGATGCAGCGGCAGCCCATGCGCAGGCAGCGAATGTACGCTTCCGGGGACGACTCGCTGCGCAGCTGGTCACCTGTGAGGTACCTGAGACAGGAGAGTGGGTGGCCATGAGGGGAGGGAGCACGCAGGGCAGCCATGCACCTCAAGGTGTCCCCTGGGAACATCGGAGCCCTAGTCCCCACAGCTCTAAGTTCTCCCTGTCTAGAAATGCCTGAACCAAGGCCCGGTCAGACACACAGTCCCAGGGCTGCACTGGTCACTAGCTTAGACATAGGCCACCTGCCAGAAGTGAATGATGGCCCCTGGCAACCCAGAGCCTGGGATGGCGTGTTCTTTCTAGAACTTGGTCAAAGGGTTTCGGGAGTGAGAAAGAGCAGATGATAAATCAAGGCCCCACGGCCGCCCACTGGGCCTGGCTGTCAGCAGTGCTGGCCCTCAGCATGCTCTCAGTGCTGCAGGCCACACAGAGTAGGTGCCCAGCAGCAGCTGGTGGCCTTCATTGCTGTGAGCCACGCCCACCAAATGTCCACAGGGACACTCATACACTCCTCACCGCGGCCACCCACGTGTCAAGGGACTGTGTCCCTTCACTGTCTCCTCCTACGTCTGGGAAAACCCACCGACAAGAATGAACAGGGCAGGGAAGACAGAACCATGGAGTCGATTTGCCCCTGAAATACCTCACTCCGAGGTACTCAGAGGATGACGTACCCACAGGCCTTTTCTCAGTACCCCCCACCACCTGCAGTGACACTTGAGAGAGCACAGCCTACCACCTTTCTTTTCTCTCTCTGCACCCACCAGGGACAGGGCCTGGCCCAGAGCAGACACTCCATAAATACCAGTCAACGGCCAACTGAATTGCTTTGCTATGTCCACTGAGACGCCCAACTTGCAAAAAGGCAGGTTTGCCGACTTAGGGTTTAGGGCCATCGACAAAGGATTATTACTCCAACACCAACTTGGAGAGGAAGCTGTGTCCCCCACCCCTTCCAGAAGCTTCTGCACATCCCAGTGTGAGCAACTGGCACTCCCTCTCTACCCTGTGTGACAGGCCTTGCCAGGGCAGCCCCCTGGGGCACCGGCCACTTGGCCCCTTGGCCCCCGGGCCACCGGGCTGGCAGGAAGCTCACGTGTTGTGGGACGAGGAGATCCAGTAGTGCGACAAGGGGTTATTCATGTCCTGCATGTCCACCACATCGTACTTCTCGTCCCAGATGCTGTTTTCTCGTGAAAACAGGTACGTGAGGAACTGAAAGAGAAACAGAGGCAGAGCCGTGGCTTGAGGACCCCGTCTGGCTGTTTCTGCTCTGTGCCCACACAGGGAGAGGGCAGCTCTGACACATGCACCCACACATGGCTTCCCGGATTCTCAACACACCGGCTCAGGTGGCATAAGGCCACAGCCACCCTGGGCTTCCTGCTCTCTGCAATGTTTTCTTTTTTAATGTTTATTCCAAAATGTTTGCTTCCTACACAGAAGTTTTCCGTCATTACAGTAACAAACGTCTGTGAACTCGCCACCCAACTGAAAACCCAGAATGTTCCCAGAATCACATTACCCAAAGGCAGGACACTTCCTATCCCAACACCTAGCTCCTTAAAATAAAAAATAAAAAAAATCAGAAGCCCAAGTGACCCGGGCTGCACTCTACCTGGGAGAGCCTCCCCTGCTGCCCTGAGCAAGGTGGACACAGCCATCCCTGCCCCAGCCACAGTTTTCAATCTTGTTCACAGCGACATGTCTTCCCTGGTGGCAGCGCCCTCTAGTGGCAGATCACACAGCCACACAGGGAACAGGCACAGGAAAGGCAAGGCAGGAACAACCCCAAACCTGGGGAGCCCCTCAGAGACAGAGGGACCCGGGGCAGCTGACGGCAGTGCCCTCCGAGGGAAGAGACCCAGGAAACAAACCCTGGAGGACACAGGCACAGCCAGCCGTGCCCACGCAGCAGTGAGCTCCCCACTCACCTCATCCACAAACAAGAAGGGTTCGGCAGTTTCCCTCACTGTGTCGTCGATGAACTTGGTCATCCGCTCCCGGACCTTGTTCAGATCCTGAGCCCACAGCTCCTGGAAATTACAAAGAGAACAAGAAATCACCAAAATGACAACTGACAAAATTCCTCACCACTCAGGATCTATCCAGTTGTAAAGACCAAACTATTGACCAATTCTGAATTCCTTGGCCATCCTTGGCCATCAGGGGCCACATATCAAGGTCTTGGCCAGGGGTCAGCAAATAGACTCTAAAAAGGACCTAAGAGCAAATATTTTAGGCTCTGCAGGCCACAGGGTGATAATTCAACCACTGCCTATGCAAACACAGCCACAGACAATATGAGACACATGGGCGTGGCTATGTTCCAATAAAACTTTATTTGCAAAAAACAAGAAGAGGGCTACACTTGACCCATAAGCTGGTTGCCGATGCATGCCCTGAAATAGTCTGCTACATTGGTTGCTATAAAGCAGCCAAGGAGCATGGCGGTTGTGACAGCCTGCCAGGGTTACCTGCCTGGCTCGTCCTCTCCTTCCATAAGGGCAACCTTAGGCAAGATATATGCCCTCTGTGTGTGTCCACATTCATGAAATTGAAATTATAGTGTTTGCTGCACGCTTCAGCAAGGGACTGCATAGAAGGTGGTTATGGGCTTAACGTGGCACCTGGCACACACTCAATTCATGAAAGTTTGTACAAATAATTACCATCCCCAATGGCCATCTTCAGCCCATACAAGGCTGCAAGTCCTATACTGTTACTGTCATTTTAGAGACAGAACACAGAAGCCCAGGTCCATTAAAAAATGACCCCAAGTCCACAGGGCTCATAAGTGGCAGAGTCCAGTTTCCAAGTAACTAAACTTTGGAGAGTGGAAATAGAATCCGATCATGCCCTCTTTTCAGGGAGTCAGCCAAGCAAGGCTGCTCAGAGATGGCTAAGGCCTGGAATATACCCAGCCAGTTCCAAAACAGCTTCTGCAGTCTTAGAATTCCAAAGTCCTTTTGGAAAAGAACACATCGCATACAGTCACTCTGCTTTCCTCTCCACACCCCCAAACCCCCAAGCCCCCAACATTCACAGGCAAAAGGAATGAACTGTGGCACACACTCCAGCTTTGACTGTGGGTTTCAGATATCCTAAAACCTCTGTCCTTATGGATAATAAAAGCAAATGTGCTGGCAGACGTGAGTGTGGTTGGATGGGAAGGGTCAGAGGAGGGTGTCAGGAAAGACAAAAAGCTGAAGCACAGGTGCAAATGGCGTGGACAAGACCTGCCTTGCTGGCACGGGATGCAAAACCACAACAAGCCCTGCCGAGGCCTCATGCAAATCCGCCGGGATCTGCGGCACAGAACGGCGGAGGCTGGGAGCAGTGAGTTCATCTCCATGTGGTCCTTAGATCTCTGAATAGGCAATGTGAAGCTTCAGTGGTAGGATACCGATGGCAATCCCTTGCTGGCCCAGATGTCCCAAAGAGGCTGGACCCGGCTCCCTTCCTTCCATCCCCACGAAGCATTTGATTTTATTAAAAGGCACAGTTCTTAGCAAATATAATCTGACACTGGACTGGCTGTGCACAAAGAGACCTCTGCCTGAGGGAGACGACAATTCAATGTTCTAGGAGGGAAAAAAGCATCTACATGATGTGGGTGGCTGCACTAAGTACCTGCGACAATGAAAACGACAAAGAACGATGACGAAAATAAAAATAAATGGTGCTGGCAGTCACCCTGGGCACTGGCTCTGCCGGGGCCTGTGCTGAGCTCTCTCAGCAGAGTGACTCATCCAGGATGTACCAGGACTCCAGAGGGTGTGTGATACTCTCCACGCAACATAAACGGGGAACAGAGGCCTCTGTGTTAAATAACAGGACCTAATGGGGAAGCTGAAACCAAACCCAAGCACAGGGGCTCTAGGGGCTGAACTTCAACCCCTTTTTGTGGAGTAACACCCAGGGCTGGCTATACTTAGCCAGGCCCCTGCTAGAAACGTGGATGGCTCCCGGTTTCCATTCCTACTAGAATACTGCTGTTATTTCCTCAGGACATGTGCCTAGGAGGGCAACTATTTAATCAAAGTGTATGCATCTTGGTTCAGTGTTTTCATCTTAACAGCACATAGCCAAATGGTTTCTAGAAAAGTTGTAATAATTTGCACAAAGTACTATAGTAGCCATTTTATATGAACACCACCACCCTAAAAAAATGTCACACAGATCCCCAGGTTCACAGAGCGCCCCTGCCCTTTGCTCCTGGCCCTATGACCCTAAGCTCTAAGGGCACCCAGCCGCTGGGGCCCACCGGGGGAATCCTGCAATATAGTAGGTAACCACTAGGTGGGGCTAAATCTACACCCAAGTCAGCCTACTGGGAAGTTCTGGAACATCCTGGCTACTGGTATCAGTAATTGTATCAACTTAACTCCAAAAGTTCCCTGCAAAACTGAACAATCCAAGCAAAGAAGAGCAAAGAATCTCACAAGTAACTGTGCCCAACAGAATTAATTTTCCCCCTTCCTTTTAACCTACCTCCATCACTTTCCCTGGGCCCTACACAAGCAGGGTATGATGGGCACAACACCCATCAAAGTCCTCTTTCACCATGGCCCAGAGCACCAGGGACCTGCTGACACTGCCTGGGCGCTTATGCAAAATGTGCCTCCCTCCTGTCATTAGCCTCTCTACCATCAACGAAACCCAAACCCGGGCAGGGTACTGGGTGGCAGACACCAAGAAACCACTCACTGTGTCAGGTGAAATAGGAGGACTGTGGCTGTGGCTTTTAAAAACAAGTCCCCTTCTGTGCAGGAGAGCTACTGAAGCATTTATAAGTCAAAGGCTACAAAATCCAGGCCACAGAGTTCAGCAAAGGAACGGAGAAGGGGGCAGGTCAGGGAGACTCGGGTGGAGATGGGAGGGAGGTGAAATAAAACTGGCAAGATGTTCCTAATTCTAAGTCTGAGTAATGGGGACGTATGGTTCGCGATCTACTTCTGTGTATGTTTGAAATATCTGGCAACTCAGTATTTTTATGTAAATTAAATTCATTTTGTCATGAACCTTAAACAGTTCTAAAACTATAAAGTCTATTCAAAAAGATAAAGAAGTCAAATAAATAAGGGAAAACGTCAATGAGACTCCAGTAATATAAAGAGAAATTTTAAAATCATGCAACTATACTTGTGTGGACAGACACGTACACACAGCCCTACTGCAATCTTCTCTGACCCCCCATGGTTCGGAGCAGTGTGAGCTCTCATCCCTATTTACCAAGGGGAAATGGGTTGAGAGAGGCTGAGCACCCTGCCCCAAGGCTGTGCAGCGAGGGAGACTTCAGACCCCAGGTCACAGAGCTTTCAACATCAGCCTAAAGAACAAGGCACCACGGTCAGAGAGGCTACTGCTGTTCTATGACAGTCAGAGGCCAGGTGGACACGGTGTCCCCTGAAGGCACCCCCAGTCTCAGTACCCTTGCCATTCTCTCACCTGCTGCTCATGTAAGAGAAACCTCTGGAAGTCCTGCAGGTAGACGGCAGAGGCATCCGGCCGATCAGTGTTGCTGCCCTCAGGGAAAGAGAGCACATTAGAGAGAGAAAAATCAACAGAGGGCCCCCGCTCCACCCAGAGTGCCCAGCCCCCACTCTGCCAGGTACCAGGCTGGCCCCCAGATGATGCAGGTGAATGACACAGAGTCCCTGACCTAGGAGGACTCAAGGAGGGGCCCTAACACCAGAATCTCAGAAAGTGGAGCCTGGACTCTGCATTTGGCCATTCCCAGCGCCATCCAAGGTCTGGGGATGAAGCACGAAGTAGGGCCACAGAGAAGACCGAGGAACCAAGCAAGAGAGATGAGGCAGGAAGGTGCTGCCCGGGGGAGAGCCCAGAGGGCCCCACCCAGACCTGGAGGGCCAGGGAGGCCTTCTGGAGGAGAGGCATCGACCCCAGAGAGTGAGGAGGGGTGAGTGGGATGGAGATGAAAAGTGTCCAGCAGGGGCCCAAGGAAGAGGGGTAGGGGACGATTCCAGAGGGGAAGGTGGGGGCCAGGAGGCAGGGAGGGCAGGACCTCAGGGCCACAGTGTGCACAGCCCCTGCTGGACAGGGCCACATGAGGAGCCCATTTAGCAGGAGCTGATGCTAGAGGAGCAAATGGACCAGAGCCTGGGCCTCCTCAGAGTGTGCCGAGCCCTCAGAAGCAGCTGCAGTGCAGGACTCTGCCAGGGAGCCAGCAGGGGCCCTCGGTCTGGAGACCCTTCCTCTGGACAGAGGGATCCTTCACTCTGATCACAGGCAGGGCCCCTTCCGCAGCAGGCTGTGGACGGCCGCTTCCAGGAGAGGACATTTGCAACTACCAAAAGCCCAAAACCTCACTGAATGGGCACAAGCCTCTGCTGGTTTCCAGGGAAGCACACTCCACAGAGGAGAGAACTGCCCGAGCACACGCGAAAGAGTGGTAAAGAGGTGGATTTACACTACATGGGAGACCTAACGGGCTGGAGCCACTCCCCTTACCAACACCAAGAGTCACAAGTCGGCTGTCTCAGACTTGTTACAAAGACATTCCTGAGCAGCCTCCAGGCCTCACACTAACCCTTCCACCCAAACTCTGAAAGTCTTCATTTGACACCTCCGTTGGCATCTTGGAGCTCTAGTTTAGAGAGTGACAGAGGGAAAGTCACTCCTCACTGAGGACTGTTGGTGCCCTACAGGCCATATTCTAGGTGCCACTTCACTCCATGCAAACGCTTCCGGTCAGACAGGCTTGGGAAACACAAGACCCCTGACAAATCCCCCACCTGGGGACTCCTGAGGCACAGAAAAGTCCTGACGAGTCCTGCAGCACTGACTTTGGATAACGCTGTCACCATAGACCTGAGTCCTCACCATGTGCCCGGCATCAGGAGGCACTGTACACGCTTCACCCACTTTAATTCAGTGCAACCTGCTTAACCAGGAATCTCCATTAACCTCACTTTAGCTTCTGTAGGAACCCTGCTAACTTGTCAAGTCCAGGAAGCACACTCTAGGAAGGAACCCCGAGGTACACAGGCTTCTTTGTAGAGCCTTTTGGACCATCCACCCAACACTCTCCACCCCGTTGCTGTGGCCCCTCTCCCATGCCACCTGCTCAGGCTGGCCGGTCCCCTGCCAGGGACCCTGTCCCTGAAGATCAGTAATGGCACAGTGGTGTCCCTTCACAAAGGCCAGCTGCACCCAAGGCATAGCTAACCTGAAAAGCAATGACATATAGAGGTGCCTCACCCCAGGATGAACACCGCGGAGTCCTTCTTGAATTCGTCAAGAATCTGAAAAGGAAAACATGCACAAAATGATATTGGACAAGTCACACGATGCCAACAAAAAGACTTGTTAAAATATCACCACGGGAATCCATGTTAGCTGTAACCATTTAGATGGAACAGAAACTTCTGGAGCAAAAGGGAGAAGTCTCCCTCCCTCATCAGTCCTCCTCCTGAGAAGCGACCGCTCTTTGTGATCAGATCAGCTTCCTCCTGGAGCTTGATCTACGGGTGTTCATCTACCTAGAGCTCACTTTAGCACATCACCCACGTCTCCCGCAACTTCAGGCTGGTGTCTCCTGCTTCACGCATGATTCTGCAACCTCAAGCAGCCCTCTTCACTGGTTTGAAAAGCCACATTTTATTTCATGATACATGTCAGTCAACTTGTTCTCACACCAGTCTTATAAGGAGACCCCTGCTTACACACGTCCACCCTGGCCCATGCTCCAGCGTTCCCACAGGCCATCTTCCTAGAACCAAATCCCAGCGTGAGATTTGCACATGAGCTCCCAGACAATCACTCTCAAAACATCGACCCTGCTGGGTACCCCCACTGGACCATGTCACCTTCCCTCCCAGCATCGCTACATTTCAAATCCTCAGTGTTTCAAAGATGGTATTTCTCATCTTCAAATCCAAGAGCAGGAAGAAAGGCCAGACGGCTTCAGTTCTGCTCTACCAGCCTGTGACATGGGCACCTTCCTCCTGCTTCTACTCACACCAGCTCATCTGCTGAGCACTGGACATACAAATGCGCACACACACACAGCCCTTGTCTGGGACTGGACACTGCAATTGTGTAAGTATTTGAGTAATTCTTCTGGACAGAAATGGAAATGCAGCCACTGGCCTGTGACTAACACTAATGATATAAAACAGCCACCAGGCCACCTGGGTCCTTTTGCCAAACTACCTGGAATTGTGAGGATGAGGAATATCGCTGATAGTCTAGAGGCAGCCCACAGGCTGGGGAAGCACAGGGGAGGGTCCCCATCAGTGTACACAGGTGTGTTACTTTTTTCTGGAAAGATGATCCATATCTTCCATCAGCATCCCAGAGAAGTAGTTCACCCCCAAAGGCTAAGGGCCACTCTTTAGACAAACGCAGAAGTACTTCCTTTCATGGCACAGCCGTAAATGGGGGGTGGCTTTGCCAGCTGCTCTTTGAGCTCACTTGGCACTTGGGTCACCAGCTCAAGCTGGTGCTGAAGGCCTGGTGGTCTGGGGCTCTGCAAACCCAGGACACCTGGAGACAGCACAGAGTGTGACGCCCCTGGGGACTGCCCCACCTTCCCGTCCTTCCCGTTCCTGCTGATAGGGTTCAGGAGCTCCACCTCATTCTGTGCATGAGGGAGATGGATGGTGAAGGAGGTGCCACTGGACACAGAGCTTCCTGGAGCCAGGAAAGACCCTGGCTTCCCCTCTCTGTAGGTCCCAACTTCTTACGGACCACCCTACTTGCTGAATCAACCAAAGACCATGCACAAAGGTGCCTGGATACGCGTTTGCAGGAGCTGCCACTGGGGCACAGAAAGGGGAGGAGCCCTCAAGGAAGAGCTAAGAACAGAGAGGAAAACATTGCTCCCCGTGCCCAGCACTTGGGCAGCCCAGGAGGAAGCAAACCTGGGACTCTGAACTTAGAGACAAAGCTGCCTGGAAATATGTTCAAACCCTGGTTGACGGCAGCGGGCGTGGGGCAGGGAGCGAAGGACAGGAGTGGATGATGCCTCCGGGGCTCTTCCAACAGAGGGATCCAGGCCCAGCTTCTCCTCACATCCATCCTAGTAGACAAGTAATAAAATACCCCCTTCTCAGAAAAAAAGGAAAAGGGTCAGAAAGGACAAAGACCTGTGCCAAAAGAACACGCCTAACAGTTCCAGGGTCCAGAATTTCACCAGCTGGATCTCCAGGGCCCCACATGCAGATGCCACCACGCAAGTCAAACAGGTGAGATCCCAGCAATCAGAGAATATTCTAGATGCTCCAGGCACATAATGGAGGCAGCAATTAACTTAACCCAGCATTACTGAGCAGGAAGATGTGGTCAGATCCTCCCTACCCAGGGAACCAGGGTGGATTTTGCACAACTCTGGGCAATGCCCAGGACCCAGCCACCCCAGCAAGGGATGCGTGTGTGGTCGGGGAGCTATGTGCTATGCTAACCTCTATGCACCCTCTGGGGTCCTGCAAGCCTCTGCAGATGAGTCGAACAAATGACTAAAACAACAGACAAGTTCGCTTTCCCTGGAGCTAAAAGATGACAAGGAGACATCACCTTTGAATTGGTCCCAGGAGAAGTAGAAGTCACCAGCTGGAAGGAGACATGCCAAAGGGAGGGGACAGCAGACCCCAGAGGCATGCAGATCAGGGAATGGAGTTTTTCCACATCAATGGAGGCAAGTCCAGCATTTGAGAGCTGTAACTCATCATGCCTGATCACTGCACTTAGCAGGTAGGAACCCTCTGGTCCTAGGAGGCCAAGGGCCAACCAGAGAGTCACTGCCAACTTGTGCCCAGCGGACTCTCCTCCTCTCCAGCCATCATCAACAAGAATATCTGCACCATTCCCGGGGACCCTCGGCCTAGGCATCTTTAAGAAATGTAGATCACTCATGCCCTCCACACTTGCTCCCGTAGGAAAGTTGCAAGCATAATCATTAAACTTCTCATTGAATGTAAGGCACAACCATAGGTAGGTTTACAGGCTTTTTAATTTTTTTTTTTAAGGTACTAGGGATTGAGCTCAGAGGTACTCTACCTTGAGCTACATCCCCAGCCCTTTTCTTTTTTTATTTATTCTAATTTGTTATATATGACAGCAGAATGCATTACAAGTCATATTACACATATAAAGCTCAATTTTTCATGCCTGATTGTACACAAAGTAGAGTCACACCATTCATATCTTCATACATGTACTTACAGTAACAATGTCCATCTCATTCCACTGTCATGCACCACCATGCCTGGATAATTCTCCTTCCATTTGTAAGCATTTTCTCCTTTTATATACAAGGTGTGCTCTACCCACCGGGGACCTCACAGGCTTGACCAGGAGGTAGCTGGGAAGTTCTATTGCACATGTTTGAAATGACTTAGTATCAAAGTTTTAAGAGTCAACAAGAAGCATCAGTGGTTGGGCATCAAAGTTGGGCAGGAGAACTCAAGTCCTTGATCTGTGGCTTACTAGGGGTGTAACCTCCAGTGAGGGGCCTTTCTGAGCCTTAGCTCCTTCATCCATAAATTGGAGACTAACAATACCCCTTTCACAGGGCTGAGAATTAAATGTTTGTACTTAGCACTTAGCACAGTATCTAACATACAGTCCACCCAAAGAAATGTAAGCTATTATCTGCATAATAATATTATTATAATCTACTTAGATGTATATCCCCTCATGGGGAGGGCACACTTGAAATTAAATTACCTTCCTGCTGCTGCCCAACTTTCAGAAGCCTTGAGGCTTGATAGCTGAGGTGTAGGCAGGTAGGTGATCAACACAAGAAGGAATCGGCATCCTCAAACTGGAAAGCATTTGGCTACTGATTAGCAAAACCCACTCCCCAGTTTCAAATCTGAGTCCTCAGGACAGCTCTGTCTCTCCAAGGCACCTGAGAAATCCAACTAATGCCCACTCCCCACTCGGTCAGGAAGCTATTGCCTTTCTCTGCCCGGTGCTTCCAGCCAGCTCAGAATTGGAACAGTCTGCTGGCAGATTAGGGGAGGGGCAAGGAGCCCCCCACCCCAGGAACAGCTCAAGCAGCCAGGACACTGTTCACACAGCTGGGGGCTTGGTCATTCAAATTCTAAACCACTGAGTTTGCAACTGCAGCAGAGGAGCTTTATACCCTCCCATGGTAAGACCCAGAACTGCTGTGGCCTGGCAGGCAACATGAATGAGGAGAGAGCTGGGCAGGGCTGGGTCAAGCAGGAACGGGACACATTCCTCCCTTTTGCTGACCACCACGGGGAGCTGTGGACCCATTTTTAGATGGATCTCGATTTTTTTAAGGATGCCCAAAAATCTGAATTTTAATATATGCTTTCCCAACCTTTAAACAAAAGCTTGATTTTTAAACTATTTAAACCACTGGACAGGACAAGTTCAATCAGATGCAGGCCCAATGTGGCATTCTGGCCACCAAGGGGCAACCTTGGGCAGAGTTCAATTTTCCCCAAAGTCCCACCCAGGTGATACTCCTGGGGGTTCAGGGATCCCGCAAAACTCAAATTTCTTCTCTCACACACATGCTTTAAAAAGAACCCATACAGCCAGGCACAGAGTGGTGCCTCAGGAGGCCGAGGCAGGAGGATCACAAGTTCCAAGCCAGCCTCAGCAACAGCAAGGCACTAAGCCACTCAGTGAGACCCTGTCTCTAAATAAAATACAAAATAGGGCTGGGGATGTGGCTCGTGGTCAAATGCCCCTGAGGTCAATCCAGGGTAATCCCCCCAAAAAACTTTTTTTAAATAAAAAACAGAACCCATATAATAGGTGAAATATATCTTGGGCTGGGGGTTAGATAGAGGGCAGGGTTAGCTTGTGCCAAGCCCTGGGTTCAATCCCCAGCACTGCAAAAACACAATGTAGGTACAATTTTCCCACCGAGGAGGCCCCCACCTGTGCAGGCAGGGGGAGCAGCCTTTGGCAGACCTACCAATTCTCAAGCTTTGCCATTAGTCCAATGGGACAGCGTCCTGAACTTTCAGGGCAAATTATGACAGACACTGTCAAGTGCATAAGGCAGCAATGGCCATCACCAGGATTTCACGTGCACATCATCATCAAAACACTTTTGTTATCCTCAAGAACTAACTATGGATAAAAGTAATAGATTCTGACCTAAGAGTATTGAAATATGCAGTTTTGTTGTTGTTATTAAGGTCTCATATTTAAAGGAGGACTTCTATAGATTTAGAAGTTTGAAACCTTTGGTCTGATTTAATATCTTCATTTTGATGCAGAAGCTGCATCAGGGAATAAAGATGGCTTCCCTCAGCATCACTCGGGTCAGTTAGAGATCAAACTGGGGTAGAATTCACTTCCCCCAGCTCCAAAGCCTATGATCTTTCTACTCTTATTTAGCAAACCAATAATTAATTATTATATATGTGAAAAGTGAACACACAGCAATTGAATTTTTTACTCCACAAAATATGAGTCTTCCCCAATCTAGACAGAGAGGGAAGGCTTCTCCCCTTTCTCCACCTCTTGTGAAGTTCCGTGGCTAACAACTACCCACTGCATAGCCAGCCTGCCCTGCATGCAGAAGACAATAATCATCATCTAGTAAAATTCACACAGACACTTGAAACTCCTGGTCTCCTACCCAGACCCTCCCAGTGCCCTGTGGGATGGGACTCATCACCTCCATTGCACAGAAGAGAAGACTAAGATTCGGTGCAGTCAGGGGCTTGTCCAAGATCACACAGCTAGCTGGCCAGAGAAACCAGAGCCCACTGGTGCCAAGTCCCACATGCACCCCGCTCTCTGGAAGCTCCCTCTGGAACCCCTCTACAGTCTGCAAAGCCGTTTCCAGCTGTAAAAGCAAGAGCTCCATTGAACGTGTGCCGCCCACCAGCTACGGCGTGGCATTGCCCCGAATAGCCCATCTTTCAACTTGATGCTTTACAGGGCATTTTTATTACCAAAGTAACATGCAACTTGGAACCAGTCGGAGGAAATAATGTTCAAAGAAGAGTTACTTCTTCCTCCTGCCCACCCTCCCAACCCCTCCAGCACATGGATGAAATCAACATTCAGTGGGAGTTACGTATTCTTCCTCACTCTCTCCTGGCTCATGAACTTGCATGCAAAGAGACATTGGAGTGCTGTGGTGGGCCATGCTTTCATAAACCAGACCTAGCTCCTTGCCCTCCCCACAGGACAGCACCAGCATCCTCCCAGGCCAGGAGAAACAGAACTGACTGTCATCAGCCGCTTAAAGGCACACAGTGTGGAGGGGCCATGAGTCACCAGGCTACTCCTCTTCTGAGAGGCGTTCAGAAGACTCCCAGGTATGTTGGCAGCATAAGAAAAGCTACCATAAACATCTGGACTACATCCTTAGTCCCTCATTCCTGCAAAACAGTCTCCAAAATGCCACTTTCAGGTCAAAATGTACGTGCATCTTAATTTTAAAAGTCTACTGTTTTCATGAAAAAATAAGTCCACATAAAAAATAGGAATAAAAGTGTTAAAATGAGAAACACACGTGACCCCTCAGCGCAGAGACGGCTGCTATGAATAATTTGCTAATTTCCTTCCAGAATGAGATAAGACAGTAGTCGTTACACTGTGTACCTTCATAGGCTCAGATTAGGTTCACACCCCACCAGAAGGGACGCAGGCCTCAAGCCACCACCCTGTCCCTTTCCCTGTAGCTCCCCCACAGTTCTTTTTGCCAACCTAATAAATGAAAATGTATGTCGCTGTCATTCCCATCTTATGTTTCCTTGACCAAACGGGAGGTCAGATACTTCCTGTGGGTTTTTCAGGCACAAGCCAGGCTTCAAATAGGAGACAGAGCATCATTTGAAATCTTACCGATTTCTGCTGCTCAAACATAAGTTTTTTATAGAAGAGGTGGAACTGTTCAAAGCTGAGTTCATCTTTATGTGCACCAATTTCCTGTAAATAAAAAAAAAAAAAACAGTGACCACATAGTGTTGGGTGTCCGCCATAAGAAGGCCTCCCCGCCTGCAGGAACTGGACATCATTCCTTCAACGACAGCTCAGAGCCTCCTCTGTTCCTCTGAGCCAAGCTGTCCACAAGTTTCCCAAGTCACCAGTCTGAGAGAAAGTACAGGGACCGCCACCAAGGCCAGCCCTCCCTTGAGCCCCCAGGGGAAGAGTCTCAGCCAGGTTTCCAAGAGCCATCGTGAACAATTCCTCCTCCTGTGGGCAGGAGGTACTTTCTTTGGAATTCTGAATCCAGACATACTTATAAAGTATATATACATAATTCATTTTTTAAAGCATAAATTAAAAAAAAACCCGATTGTCAATCAGAAGTTGGACAGAATTCAGCTCCAATCAACTGCTATTTAGGGCTCTGAGTAATTTAATTGACCCTTTCAGACCCTCAGTATCTTCATCTATTAAACAGGAGGCCCATCACCAACCTCCTTATCTTCCCTGAAACCAAGTAAGATAACAGATACAAAATGCCTGGCTACACAAATGCCTGATAAGAACAAGATTCTGATCACTCAGGGATCAATGATAAATGCTCGCTCATCTTCCTTCTCTTCTCAAATCCCACCTGTTTCTGTTGAGGACCAGTGTGGGACAGTGGGGTATGTCAAAGCATGGCGTGGTCAGCCATGAAACGGGTTAGCTCCCCAGGCCCTCACTAGGACAGAATGAGCAGAGGAATCCTATGGGTGATGGCTGACACTAGCATGGCCACAAGTCCCATGGGGCTCCTGAGATCCAGTACCCACTTCCTGTCAAATCACAAGGTGCCCGTCCTTCGTTATCTTTGTGCATCCTTGCCCCACCCAGAGAAGCCCCCCTGACCCTCCATATCCCATGACTCAGGGGCTTCACTATCCTGCTCCAACAGCTCCAGAACACGACAACAAAAGCAAACTCAATGAGAGGTGGACGGACAGACAGCTAGAGGACAGGTGGGGGGAATCCAGAGCCATCCCTCATGAGCACACCAACAGGACTTATTTACAAAACACTATTTTGCAAAAAATAAACATGTTCACGCTACTAGGAAGAAACTACGCAGCAGGAAGACCAGGCGACAGGGAAAAGAGCAATGAGTACAGATGCTCTGCCGCGGACGGCCCAGTGGTCTTCACCACGTCCTTGCAGGGACGGGGAACACGTCCGCAGCTATCACCCCATCTGCTGACTGGACAGGAACAGGTGCACTGGAGGCCAGGACTCTCTGGGCACCGCCCCACAGAGCTCCTGCTCCCAGGCAGCCATGGGCTTGGGGGAGAGGCACCACGTAGCCCTGAGTTCCTAAGATTCCCAGGCTCAGCTTTGAAACTTACCGCAAGCTTATCTTTGAGGAACTTGGCACCGCTTACTTTGAAGTTGACCAGGGGTAAGATGGCCTTCAACTCTCGGAGGCTGATGCTGCAAAGGAGAAAAGACCCAGATCCATAGGCCTTGAGGGCTCGGCAGTGTAGGCTTCAGCCCGCCCCATGCTCCCACCTCCCACCTCCCACCCCTCCACGAGCAACCTGGCTGGCAGCTGCTTCCTGAGCAGCTAGGAACCAAACAGTCAGGGTTCAAGGAGGGGACCCCAGTGACGGAGGCTGGCCCCACCCCTCAGGGATGGCCACGGTCGTGGTAGGAGACGGGTGTATGGGGATGATGCCCCATGAGGAGGGCTGGCCTCACCCTCCAGAGATGGCCCTGGACCTCCAATACCAACTGCACAGGGGCTCAAAGCCAGGCCAGGTTACCAAGGCCAGAGGGGCGAGGGGCGGGGGGGCAGGCAGCATCTGAGCTGGTTATGCCCCAGGCATCAGCGGCCGCCCCCTGTGAAGCCCATATCAGTGGCCCCAGGGTTCAGAACAGGTGGGGGTCACTGGGGAGCCCACCAGAGGCCAGAGCTGCACAACCAGAGTCAGAATCAAACTCCAGAACAGCCTCACGGCCAGAAGGGCTGCTCCCCAGCCTCCACGCACTTCCCCCAGTGCTCTGGCCCTCAGCTTCACTTCAAGAGGAGAGGAGAGTGCCTCCCAGGAAAGGGGACACTAGAGGTCACCCAACCACAGTGGTGACAGCAGCTGAAACTCATAAGTGCGTGCCGGGCGCACAGGTGCGCTCCAGGTGCCCTGTGTAGTCCCTGGCTTCCACAGCCCTTGAAGGCAGCACAGCCACTACCATCTCCTCCGGCAAGGACAAGGCTCAGAGAGGCTGGGACCTGGCCCACGCCAGATTCAGACTCCAGCCCAGACTGCCACAGCAGCCACATCCAACTGCCACCAGGGAGTGCACACACCACAGGGACAGGTGAGACTAGAGTCTGTGACCCACAGGCAGGAGATCCAGACCCTTCCAGCCAGAGAGCCCAGCGTCTGATGGACTAGACAGGGTCAAAGGAACCTGCCCCAGGTGTGGGCAGGAAACGACCCAGCTTCCTCCACCCGGGGAACTCAGCCCCACTGTTACTTTCTGAAGGGAGCACAGGTGATCGTCCGGTGGCTGCCCCTGAGGAAGGCTGGTATGCTCTGGCCACCCAGAGTCCCCACCTCCCACCTTCTTAAACTCTAGTTCTGACGCCTCTCTGCCATCAGAGCCCTTGACCTGTGAGCTGCTCCCCTGCCCACCCCCACTGCAGGGGCAGCAGCGCCTCCAGAGAGAGAAGCTCAGAGGAACAGAAAGCACCCAAGGGCTGGGTGGGGCTTAGTGGGCAGAGAAGCCAGCAGGTGGGGGGCATTACCCCCCACAACTAAGAAACGCCTCCTGACTCATCTCCTGTGGGTGGAGGGGCCGAGGGTGCCAGCACCGCAGAGGCAGCAGAGAAAGGGTCTAGAACAGTTGGTAGTCCCGGGGGGCTCACACTGGGAGACGTCAGAGTCCCCTCAGGAGCCCAGGTTGCCACTGGGCAAAAGAAGCTTCCCATGTCCGAGAACAGAGGGTGAGGTGCACAGAGCTGAGGACCAGGGGAACAGATCTGGGACCCAGAGCATCTGCAACACCTAAGCCCAACTGTCCCAAAGGCTTCGCCTTGGACCACAAAACCAGAGCCAGAGCTTCTAGAGCCCCCCTCTTCCCCACTTCTGGGTGTGCGGTTCCCAGCCAGCACTGGACATTCCTGGAGCTCAGCTCCACCTTCTCTGGCTGATCATCAGCTAGAAGGTACCTAGCCCAAGGTCACAGCCGCACCGCCCCCCCCCCCCCAGGGCAGGTAGCATCCAATGACGGGCCCATGCATGGGAATAAAGGCCTGCCATCTGGCCTTGGTTCCAGCTCTGTGACGCAGTCCCTGAGCTGCCCAGGGGAGCAGCAGATCCCCCTTCTGGGGAAACATAGCAAAAATCCACCCCCCCAAGGAGACACCAATGGTCCCTCCCTCTTCCATGGCGGGCATCACTGAACAAAATCATGCTGCTCTTCCCTTCTCAGCCTGGCCAAGTCCCAGGACCCTCAACTCTGCACCCCATGTGGCCACTGCCAAGCAAGTGACATTGGCAGCTCGCTAAACCCACCCCACCATCGCAGACCTCTACTATGACAATGACAGACACATGATCCGGGCCTTGCCCCAGGGTTTCCACAGACCAACCCACTGAACCCTCCCACCAACCCCCAGCTGGGAGGCAGGGCTATTCTCTTTCACAGATGAAGAAACTGAGGCACAAGAAAATTAAACCATTTGTCCTGATTCACCCAACCAGCAGCAGAACTTTCTCCACCGCTGAAGACGTTCCACATCCAGGCCCTCCGCACACGGCCGCCGGCCTCGCGTGGCTTCTGCAACCAAGGGGCTGCTTGTTTGTTTCTTGCTTTCAGGGTACTGGGGACTGAGCCCAGGGCTACCACTGAACTACACCAGCCCTTTTAGGGGTTTTTGTTTTGTTTTTTTGAGACAGAGTCTCGCCAAGTTGCCATGCCTAGCCTTGAACTTGATCCTCCTGCCTCGGTTCCCTTGAGTGGCTGGGATTACAGGCGTGCACCACCATGCCGGCTCTGAGATACTATTTTCAAACCGTGTTCTAGGTTCTCTCCACCAGTAGCCCTTAGCAGATGGTCCCTCCAGCTTTATAGGAAGGGCTCACAGCTGGGATTATGATTTTTTTAAATTCTATTTAATTTTCATTATGATAAACAGCCGCGAGTGTTCAGCAGCTCCCAATCTGCACAAGCGGTTGGAGGGTCCTTCTGCAAACAGTTCCTGGACCAGCAGCATCCACCTCACCCAGGAATTCGTTAAAATGCAAATTCTTCAGCCCCAGCCCGGATCCACTGAGTCCACTTCCTTGGCCCATGCATTCTAACCCTTCAGGGGATTCTGAGGCTTGCCCAAATTTAAAAACCTCTCTCTAGCTCCCAACCCCCGCTTCAAGGAAAACTTCTAAAAATTTCCCATGGCGAAGGCAGTGCCCAGAACAACAAAATCTACCCAGGGAGTTCTACTGTGCTGGAACCTCAACTATTAACCACATGAAACCCATTTGCATTCAGGGAGATAAATGGACCCACACCTGTCTCCCACCTGCAAAAAATGCCCTCCCCTCCCACCTCCCTGAAGGCCCAGCTCAGTGGCCCCTTTGTCCCTGCAGAGCTGAAGGAGAAAGGAAACCAATTCTGCTATGCAAATTCAGCGCTATCCACCCAGCGGGCAGGGAGGGAAAGAAAAGTAAGTACTGGTGAGGAGGTGGGGAAAACGGAACCTGCTAGGGGAACCTCTCACGGTGCCACCGCCAGGGAAAACAGGACAGCACTCCTCCAGATGCCAAGGAGACTCGCCACCACTCCAGCACCTGCACTGCTCTGTGCAGACCCAGAGCAGAAGGTAGAGATGGCAGAGACCACCACCCCCCTGCTCGCACAGCACACTCACCAGAGCGGAAAGCCAGAGCACCCACCGTGGAAGAGCAGACAGACAAAATGTGGTAGGACAGACACACAGCGCACCATCACCTGCCTCGAAAAGGAAGGAGATTCCAACACGCGACAGGGGGACGGACCTTGAAGACACTGCTCTGGGTGAACGGGGCCGAAAGACGGATGTCTCCCCATTCCACCCAGAAGAGGGGCTAAAGACATCAGAGACAGCACGGGGCTTCCAGGACTGGGGGAGGAGTGGGAGCTGCCCCTTAATGGCTCCAGAGTCTCAACTTGGAAGAAGAAAGATTTGTGGAGCGGACAGGGGTGGGGGTCGACTGCAGACTGGGAACACCTTAATCCCACAGAACCACGTGCCTGAAGGAGGCTGAGGCGTTATCTTCTGCCACAATAAAACAAAATTAAAATCTTATCTTTTTCATTGTAAAGTGACCAGTCAGGGTGAAGAAGGAAAGATTTCCCTGACTTTCAATAACACAAATTTTTTAAAAATATCCAACAGCGGGACTACAAACCTTAGTGCCAACCTCAGCAAGCGGGGCGGCTTTAAACAACTTCTCTGGCCCCAGGGACCTCAGGTAGAAAAGGGGTCCCTACCTCGGCAGTGAGCTAAGAGCTTCCCATAAGTATGCAAAGAGCTTTTTGGGGTTGGGGCTGCTAAGCAAGTTCTCCACAAAACCAGCTGCGTCCATTTTGCTTCTGTAGAAGTTAAGAAGCCAGATGGTGGCTTGGGCCAAGCAAAGCCCCTGTGTTTAGGGCTCCACCCAAACCAGGCCAGCTCCACGCCTGCCCTCCGGTCCTTGTGCTCCTCTTGTGGCTGCTTGGTTTTCACAGCCAGTCAACCGATATGGGCGTCAGGAAAGGGTGAGATATTGGCAGAACTGAAAGGAGCAGCTCTTCACAGCTTCCTTGACCAAGCTCCCTCCTGCCCTCACGGAAAAGGTGGGATTGTCCACATGTTGGCAGAGCAGCAGGGCTCAGCCACTGGGAGGGAACTGGGAGCGCCTGACCAGGGCCCCATCCAGGACAGGACGCCCTCTCTGCTGAGCGCCTGGACCAGAGCGCGGAAAGGTGGGTCTCCACACAAGACCTGCAGAATCACCCTGGGCGACAGCAAGGTTTCCAATTCTTGGCCACGTAAGAAGGAGAAGCAGAATCTGAAACCAGTACAACAACCCCATGCCACCACGGTGGGGACAGGGGTGGCCAGGATGGCTCTTTCCGTCACCCTTTGCCAGTGTCCATGACGAATCACATAAACCACAGAGAAGGAAAACACAGTGGGGAGGCGCCCCCTCCAAGACTGAAGGAAACCAGGGTGTACAAAATCTGCAACATGGCCTCACCGGCTCCAGCCCAGTGTCCCCAGAGGATGGCCATCTGTGCACAAGACAGGGAACATGGAGGGGACAAGGGAGGGGACCCCAGGAGGAAGAAGCAAGGCAGGGGCTTCGGGCTGAGCTGATGTTCCCAGGTCTTAACCACCTCATGGTTAATAGCTCCAAATCCTCCTGTCACCGCACTGAGGGGAAGCCACAGAGGCCACCCAAAGCCCGACTTCAATGAGAGATGGACTCCATAAGGATGGAAAGGCTCTTGGGAAGGTGAGCGAAGTGCTGGCTGTTGAGTTACTGCCTTGAGTATGACAGATATTTCTAGACCAAGAATAAATGAAAAGGAAAAAAAATTAAAGGTCAAATGTGAAGCTAAAAAGAGAAAATCATTGCAAAGTGCACAGAGCCCACCAGCTGAGCGTGAGTGCTCAATAAATAGCTTCCATCTTTTCATTATTAAGAAGAACTGGATCATAACCCCCAAGAAAAGGAAAGGGGTCAACCCTGCCCAAAAGAAGGATATGCAAATTTAAGCAAAAATACACCCCTGCCTTTCACCCATCAGATTAACAGAGGGCGAGGTCCAATGCTGGGCTCCAGCCTCTGCAGGAAGCACACATTGCCACGCCCAGGCACATGTCACACCAGCGACACTCAGCAGCCCAGGTTGCCCGTGGATACCTTCAAGTTCACACAAACACGGCAGGATTTGCAGAGCCGCGTTGTTGACAGTAACAACACAAGTATCAGGAACAACTCTGTCGCTTGATAAGGGAATGATGTTTGGAACTACACCACATTCAGCTAAGGAAAAACCAAAACCACATATTTGTTAAAGAAAATGCCTAGCACAGAGCTGGGTGTGCTGACTGGGATACTCCACCAAGGTCCTGTCCAGCACGCTGCATGGGGTCGCCCAGCGTGCTTGCCCAGCCCAGCCCACAAGCCATGGCCAAGTAACTCTGTTTGCCCCTTCACGGTCAGCCTCGCTCCCACCACAAGCTGTAGGCATGAGGGATCATGCGTCCCACTATTCCAAAGGTACAGAGGTGCTCAAATGTCTGTGAATAGGGTCATGTCCTCTCTGAAGCTGGACTGGGATCCTCCCTGGAATGGAGGCTCAGCCCACACAGAATATACTGTCACCACTAAACTCAGCAGCCCTTCATGATATCCCTGAAGACATTAGGGATTCGGAGGAACCTGCCTCAGCATCATAAAGGCTATAATATGAAAAACCGAAAGCCAACCTCATGGTAAATGGGGAAAAACTGAAAGCACTTCCTTTAAAATCTGAGACAAGAATGTCCCCTCTCACCACTCCTATTTTATATAGTGCTAGAAATTCGAGCCAGAGCAATTAGACAAGAAAAGGAAATTAAAGGGATAAAAATAGGAAAGAAAAAAGTCAAATTATCACGGTTTGCAGATGACAATAAGCCTGTACCTAGAAGATCCAGAAAACTGCACCAAAAGACTGAGAGGTAATAAACAATTGCACCAAAGGAGCAGGTTACAAAATCAACATACAAAAATCAATAGCTTTCCTATATACCAACAAGGAATCTGCAGAGAAAGAAATCAGGAAAACAATTCCTTCGCAATAACCTCAAAAAAATAATATATGTAGGAATAAACCTAACCAAGGAGGTAAAAGATCTCTACAGTTAAATAAAAAAAAAAAAACTATAGAACATTGGAAAAAGAAATTGAAGGAGACCTCAGAAGATGGAAAGACCTTCATGTTCGTGGACAGGAAGAATTAATATTGTTAAAATGGCCATATAGCGCATGGTGAAATGCCTGGAATGCGCGTTTCTCAGGTCCATAGCTTATATAGGCGGATCTTGCAACTACACCGGGTTCTACTCCCGGACCTTAAATCTCTGGGTGACCAGTACGTGAAGGACGGATTTAGGCGACATAAGACCATTGGTTCTGACAAGGCCCAGCGTTTCTTGCAGGAATGGGAGGTGTATGCATCAATGTTATGGGAACAAGCTAATGAATACAGACAAAATTCAACTGAAAGAGCATGTTTTGGCACCTCCCTCCCAGAAGAAAAACTTAATGACTTTCGTGATGAGCAAATTGGATAGTTACAGGAACTGATGCGAGAAATTACTAAACCCAACAGGCAATTTAGTATCATGGAGTCTACAAAACCAAAATTTTAGTAAATACAGTAAAGGTTTGACAAAATAGAAAATTTAGAACCTTTTAATTATCATTGGTTTTTTTTAAAGTTATTATTTCATCCTTACATATTATTTTACTTTTGGCTTTTATGAATGCAGTATATGGACCAGGATCACCAGCAGACAACTGGAAAACTTTAGGACATTGTTGGAATAGCAGTATTTACTGAATAGAATTTGATTTTGTGCATTAAATAAGGAAGCCTCCAAAATGAAATATTGAGAATTTTTTGTATACAAGTTTGTTTTAAATGCTGATGTTCAAGCATTAGAGACTTTCTTTTGCTACATCAGTCAAGTATATCATAGTGAAAAATGTAGAATTTCAACAAATTTATTAGATTGTCATTCTGAAAGTATCATTTCCACTTTAGTAATTGCATAGATGATTATTCTGCATGTCTCCTTCTGACTCGTTGTTTATTCACAATGAAATGTTAAAGAGAAGCTTTAATATTCAGTATTATATTATCATTTGCATAATAGATTGTACAAAGTATAATAATGTTTCTACAGTATTTATAACGAATGGCCCTTCAAATTAAAAAAAAAATGGCATTATACCAAAAGTAATGTACATCTAAAGACCAATGACATTCTTCACACAACTAGAAAAAAGCAGTCCTAAAATTCATGTGGAGGAATAAAAGACCCAGAGTAGCCAAAGCAATTTTAAGCCAAAAAAGTAATGCTGCGGTGATCAAAGTACGCTATAGAGCTGTAGTAACAAAACTGCATGGTACTGGCACAAAAACAGACACATAGACCAACGGTACAGAAGATAGAGAGATAAGCCCACACAGGTATAGTCACTAATCCTTGACAAAAGTACCAGAAACATACATTGGAGAAAAGACAGCCTTTTTAACAAACGGTGTTGGGACAACCAGTTATCCATATGTAGAAGAATGAAATTAGACCCTTTTGACTCACATTGCACAAAAGTAAACTCAAAACGGATCAAAGAATTCAGAATTTGACCAGAAACTATTCAACTTCTAGAAGAAAATACAGAGTCAACACTCCAACTTTTATATATATATAATTTTTTTTAAAGAGAGAGTTAGAGAGAACTTTTTAATATTTATTTTTTAGTTTTCGGCGGACACAACATCTTTGTTTGTACGTGGTGCTGAGGATCGAACCCGGGCCACACGCATGCCAGGCGAGCACGCTACTGCTTGAGTCACATCCCCAGCCCAACACTCTAACTTTCAAACACAGGCAACAACTTTCTTAATAGGACCCCTAAAGCTCAGGAAACAATTCCAAGAGTTAATTAATGGAATAGCATCAAATTAAAAATTCTGCCAAGCAAAGTAAGCAAATAGGAATGTGAAGAGAGAATCTATCACTTGGGAGAAAATCTTTGCTAGCTACTCTTCTGACCTCTGTCTTAATATCCAGAATATATAAGGAGCTCAAAAAATTTTACACCAAAAAAATGAAATAACCCAATTAATAACTGGGCAAATGGAATTAGACAAGTTCTCAAAAGAAGAAACGTAAATGGTCAACAAATACATGAAAAAAAAATTCAACATCATTAACAGTTAGGAAATGCAACTATACTGAAATCTCACTTCACAGCAGTCAGAATGGAAGTCATCAAGAATACAAATGATAAATAAATGCTGAAGAGGATGTGGGGGAAAAAGGAACACCTTTATACTGTTGTGACAGCAAATCAGTACAATCACTGAGGAAATCAGTAGGACGTGTTCTCAAAAGACTAGGAATGGACCATAGGCCCCAGCTATACCAGTGCTCAGTATGTTTCCTAAAAGTTAAAGTAGTCCTACTACAGATACATACGTGCATCCCATGTTTATCGCATCACAATTTACAACAGAGAAAAATGAAATTACTGCATTTGTAGGGAAATGGAGGGAACTAGAGAATACCCTGTTAAGTGAAATAAGCCAGACTCAGAAATTAAGGTTCACATGCGTTCTGTAATATGTGGAAACCAGAGAGGAAAAAGGAAAAGAAAGGGGGGGTGGGGGATCTCATGAAAATCCAAGGGAGATCAGTAGAGGAGAGGAGTGGAAGGCACCGAGGGAGGGGGTAAGCGCTGGGTAGTGATAGTAGCCAAATTATATTGTCATATGGCGTGCATCTAAAAATATTAACAACAAATCCATCCAACTGTATAACGATAATGCATCAATTAAAAAATGTGGAGAAAAAAAAAAAAGAAAATTTTGTCACCACTAACCCCCAGCACCTAGCTTGGTATCTGGCCCTCCATCAGCCAAGTGTGATCTCACGAGGACCTTGTCCACCACAAAGCATGCTCCAAGCCCCTTGGAACATTTGAAGAAAAAATGAAAATTGGAGTCCATAGAAAACAGCAAAACTGTGCAAGAGTCTTACCTGTTTCTTCTGGTTTGATCTACAGAATAAATCTGTTTCCTCAGCCAACTGGAAAGAGATTGAGACAAAAAAAAAAAGAAAGAAATTAGAAAATAGTGAAGTCTAAGCAAGTTCTAAGGGGCGGGGACAAAAGGAAGAGAAGCAAAAAGAATTTTAGGCAAGTGTGTTGGCCCACACTGGTAATCCCAGCCACTTGGAAGGCTGAGGCAGGAGGATGGCAAGTTATCAGCCAGCCTCAGCAATTTAGTGAAGTCCCAAGCAACTCGCAAGACAGTGTCTCTAAATAAAACACAAAAAAGGGCTAGAGATATGGCTCAGTGCCTCTGTGTTCAATCCCGGGTACCAAAAACATAAAATAAGAAGTGTTTGGGCAGCTTGGGAAGAGGTTTCCCTATGGCTGAAGACCTCATTTGAGCCAAGAGGGCCCCTTCCACAAGAAGAGGCTGGGCTTCTGCGTAACGGTGTTTCCTTCTAATGACAGTTACTAGTCCCCAAATAGCTGGTTAAGAAAAACAGCAGAAGTGGGGCCTTTGGTTTACTGGGGGCAGTAACTCGTGCTCAGATCCCACCGATACCCATCACCTTGAGAGACAATCCTGAGAAAGCCTGTCAACCACGAGGGAGTGACAGGGGACAAACTCCAGCCCTGACTCTGGCTGCCTCGGTTTGGGCCACCTGCCCCCCACTGAGTCCTAACAGAAGGACACCCTCCCGACACGCCACACCAGTGGAAGTTTCCATTTCAGTCCCAATGCTCTGCTCACTCGAAGGCCAAGGCTAAAGAGTAGCCCGAGAGCCTGACTGGAAGCACTGGAGAGCCCACAATCCCACGCGCCCACGGGCCACAGGCTCCGGGTGCACCTCCAAGATGCAACGCCCCACCCACCCCCTTCCCTTTAGCCCGATGTCCAAGGGGTGAATGAGCGAGGACAGAGACAGGTAAGCCAGGCACCTCTCGATGATGGTGGGGGTGGACGCACTCATCGCTTCTTGGTGCAAGATCTTCAAGCCAGAGAGCCACTTCATGGCGTCCTCCCTAGAGTCAGCTGGAGAGGGGGACAGCACAGAAGCATTGTTAATCACTGGGAGACTCTGCCTGGAGCCCCAACCCCAGCAGAGTTACAGACCAGGGGGATGGGAGAGAGCTGCGCTGTCTTCCAGGTTGGCAGGACACCAGGGGCGTCTCCTTCACACCGTCACCGTCCTGGGGCCTGCTCCTGACTGAGACGAGGCTGCACTGGAGATGGGCCTCCTCCCCCAGGCGGCAGGGGGGCTCCCCATACCACCTGGACCTGGCCGAGAGTGGCAGTGACTACCACAGAGGCCACTGCTGAACACAGCTGGTGCTATTCTGTGAGCCTCCCTGTATCTGCCTCCTCTTGAACAAAGAGCCCGTAAGGGACGCGCCATCACTACCCCAGCGTGGAAAAACCGAGTCTAAGGTTTGGTGATGTGTCCAAGGCCACATGGCCCCTAAGTGCCATGAAGGACTGAAGGTGTGTCCTCCCAGAATTCCTGGGTTGAGGTCCTAATGTGACAGGCCTTGCAGTGGGCATTTGGGAGCGACTAGACTGAGATGAGGTTATAGGGACGGGTCCTCCACATGGGGATTAGAAGGGAGGACAGACCCAAGCTCCCTCCCTACCAGAGCGCACGCAGAGAAAGGCCACATGAGCACACAGAGAAGGCGACCATCAACCAGCCAAAGGGGACGTCACCAGAACCCACCAGGCCAGCGGTATGATCTCGGACTTCCCGGGCTCCAGACTGTGAGCCACCCACCCAGTCTGTGGCATTCTGCTACAGCAGCCAGGCAGACTGGGGCCTGCAGCCCACCCTAACCCTAACCCTAATGGTGCCCGACTCTGTGGATAACAAGCCGAGGATCCTGAACTCCAAGCCAGGGGTGCTCAGACCCAGCTTCAGAGAATCGCTTGGGTGGCCTTCCAAAATCCCAGGGCCTAGGCCCCACCCCGAGATACTACTTCAGAAGGGAGGGTGGGCAACTCTCCCAGGGGGTGCTAGTGGGAACACAGGCTGAGGTCTCAGGGCCTCTATCACAATAACGAATTACCACAAATCCAGCAGGTTAAAGTAACATGGAGGTATCCCTTTCCATTATGGAGGTCAAGTCCCCAACAGGTTGGCAGGGCCACGCTCCTGCTGGGAGCCCTTGGGAAGGACCCATCTCCTTTCCTCTGGGGGCTGCCTGCACTCCTTGGCTGGGTCCAGCACCACTCTGACCTCTGTGGCCGAACCTCTTCCCTCCTGTGATTACACAGGGTCCTGGCTAACCTGGGATCACCTCCCCATGGAGACCTTAACTCAGTCACATCTGCAAAGTCCCCCCCTCAGATGAAGCATGCACAGGCCGCAGGCATTAGGATGCCGACATCTGGGAAGCCATCATTCAGCCTCCGCAATAGAGGGCCTCTGGCTCAGGGCGTTAACTTGTTTTGTCTCATCGAAATTTTTTGCTTTTAGCCCAGGGTGGTGAATCAGAAGCAGGGCCAGGGAGATGTGCGCCACAATCCCGGCGCCCTCCATACACATTTCCTGTTTCCAAGGAGGCTGGCGGGAGGGGAGGTAGCACCCTGGACAGAGGGAAGCAGCAACAGGTGGCGCACAGAGCTTGACCTCTCTGCAAGAGGAGGCCGGCCTCTCCAGTCCATGACACCACGGCAGGGTTGTCCATGACACCATGGCAGGGCTGCCATGGGCAGGCCACCTCACTGGCTTGACCCCCAGAGCCCTCAGGAGCAGGGAGCAGCACCGCGGCACTTGCCATCTACTAAGCACGTGCAGAGCACCGGCACCTGGTTCCTCTGCCAGAGCACCCCAAGACCTCCACTCTCACTCCTTCCCCAGGATGAGAGGAAGCCAGGGCTCAGAAGGGCAAAGTGTCCCAGCGAGTGAACCAAGGTCATGAATTCAGGGCTCCAGAAGGAACTCATGCCAAAGCTTGGTATGCACTCAGTCCGCATGTGGGGCTCCGCGGGTGTGGGGCTCCATGGCCGGCTGTGAAGGCCCATGTCAAGGGGCCCCTTTCCTCTGCGCCCTCCCCTGCCCTCCACACACCACCAATCGAGTGCTCCCCGTTTCCGGCCTACTACCCCTGCTCAAGCTCCGGCTCAGGCCATGCCTCCTCCCTGGACCGCCCTCCCTCTTTCCTTTTAACTCCTAGCAAACCGGCCTTAAAACCCAGTTTAGAAGTCACTTTGCAAAGCCTTCCTGGGTCTAGGCACCCCGTTTTCCTGCTGCAGGGCACTGCTGTGAACTGCAGCTCTCGTGACGGTGTGCTATAACTTCCTGTCCCCACAGCCCTCTCTCCAGGCAGACTGTGAGCTCTGTGACAGCAGCAGCTGGGTGTCTTTCCTCTTTTCGCCCCACTGACATCTCTCTCAGAGCAAGTGCACACAAGACGCTAGACAGGAGCCATCAGTAAGGGCTGGCCAACCCTAACCGGATGTCCCACACTGCTAGGCTGTCACGGTCCCCCCTTGGTCTACTTGAGCAGGATTTATTTTCTCTCCCCTCAGTCACAGCTGTACATACACTGAGGCTGGACCTTAAGCAACCACAGCTTCAGCCCTGTAAAGAGCCTACCCTCTCCATCTGCTCTCAGAAGACCAGAGGGGGCTCTTCTGCTTTGTGATGATGCACAGGGATGACCAGAAACCTCACGTTCGGATACGTGTATCTGTGTGTGCATGCACGTGTAGCGTGTGTTTGTATGCACACGCATGCAAACCTCAGCTCCTTCAGATCAGTACCAAGTTTTCTGTGCAGGAGCTCTGGTAGAAAGCAAGGTGTCTGCCTGTGGCAATCATGTTAACCACCATTTATTTGACTCTCAACATGAGCCAGGCTGACACTTAAACTCCTCACAGCATCCCATGATGCAGGCATGATTGTTCTTTCCATTTCACAGCTGAACAGTTGCGGCTCAGAGTGGTTGTGTAGCTTGCCCAAAGACACACAGTAGGGCTGGGATTTAAAACCATGATGCTCCAAAGGCATGTTAGTGGGTAAGGATGAGCATCCGCTACCAAAGAACTTCCTCAGATGGAAACTGTGGCTCAGCAAGGAAGAAAAGCACACAAAATGACACCCACCTGCCAAACTGAGTGTGCTGAGGACAAACTGGGTGCCGTACAGGATGGTGAAGCAGCAGTCTTCCTTCTGGCGGACCGCTTTCGCACGCTCGAAATCCTTGGAGTTCTTCCCCGGGCGGATCTCCTTGATCTCCATGATGTCCACTGAGGAAATAAGCACCGGCCAATCAGAAGCAGCCCACCCCTCCTGATCAAAAGCTACAGGGCCAGGACAGCCACTGGGCCCAAGGGAGACTCCCTGGCCCTCATAGGATGACCACTGAATGATGGACCAGTCCAAACAGCAGGCCAGGCTAGTCCCTTCCTTCCCTTTCTCTGTCCAAAAACAAAACTCCCCCCTTCCTGGGTCAGACCTGTTCCCTGTGCTGGCTCACCCCTTCCCCCTCTGCCTTCAACCACCAGGTGAAGGGGGAGCAGGAGTCCTGGGAACCCCCAGGTTGGCCGTTGACTGGCTCAGTGACTGGCCCCAGGACAAGTCATGGCCCCAGCTGGGCCCTTAAGCCTTCTCCTGGGACACACCTGGCCAGGACCATTTATGAAGAGTGTTTCAGAGCTGCCGCCAGGCTGGCCCCGAGTTGGGGTAGCGGCACCCTGTTGCCAGCCACATGGAAAGAGACATCAAGCCCCGTCACACCACCAAGTCGGACTGCTCCCAGTCAGGCGCTGAGGCAGCTCCGCCCTGGGAGGTGCCACTTACGACAACCAATAAAGTCAGCGCAGGTTAGTTGGAGACAAGTTTCTGTCACTTAACAACCAAAAAGCTGCTTCCTACACCTCAGTTGGCACATGGAACAGAGAAACAGGAAAGGCAGGGACTCCCAGATGGGGGTGAGGAAGGCAGGATCAGCTCTGCGCCCAGAGGAGGCTGGCTTGGGGAGGAGGAGGCTGGCTTGGGGAGGAGGAGGCTGGGTAGATCTGACAGGGGGGAAAGCTCATTTTATGTTTTGTCTGTTAGTTAACAGAAGAACTGTATACATTTGTCACAGAGAAGGTGATGTTTGAAACAGGTATACACTGGGCAATGGCTTCACGGAGCTGATTAGCCTATGCATTACCTCCCAGACCTACTCTCTGTGATTTCCAAAAGGAAATGCCTCATCAAGGGGCTGCAGCCACCATGTTGCCCAACAAGAAAGGGCCCTTCGGAGTCAGATCTGAAGCAGCAGGAAAGACTCGGGCCATTCTCAGGTGACAGGCCGGCGGGATGAGCGGACAGCCTCTGCCTTCTCACCCGGGTCTGTTCAGCTGACCATGGTCATGACAGAGGAGGAGACTGTCAGCACAGCGCTTGCTCTGGACCCCAGGTGTATCTGTCACACACGGCTGCTCCTGTGATCACTCCATGGGACCATGCACTACAACACCACGGAAGGAAACACCAGACCAAGGTGCTGAAAGCCGCGGGGGTGCACGGCTTAGTCAGCGGTACCGTCCCAGCGACGACACCCTGGTTGTCATCACATTAGGAAATACGCCGTCACTGGGAATCCTGGAGGAACCGGGCACAGAAATGCCACTATTTTTGCCACAGCCACATGAGTCTAAAACAATTTCAAAACAAGAGGTTTTAGAAATCATTTGTCAATTATGGGTGGCCCCACTGTGGTCAGCAGAGCACGCCCCCCTCCTTCACCCAACACAGACACCCACGGGCTTCCGATCTTGGCTCTTTATCTGTTCCTCAAAAATAAATCCATTCCCTGCGCTGGAGTTGGTGACTTTCTAGGGGAAATCCGCCTTCCTGACGCGCCTGCCTTTGCAGTTACCTAAAACCTTTAATGGCATGAAGGTTCGTTCACAAAAACAGCTGCCACCCACCCAGTTGACTGACAGGCAAGAGTCCAGCGACTTAAGTAATGAACTTTTTTTTTCCCCTTGGTACTGAGGACTGAACCCAGAGATGCTCTACCCCTGAGCGACAGCCCCAGCTCTCTGTATTTGGAGAGTCTTGTTAAGTGGTCGAGCTGGCCTCGAACTTGAGATCCTCCTGCTGGGATGACGGGTGTGCGCCATCACGGCCCGGCTCTTTAATTTCCTATCTAGTCTAACTTTTCTCTTTCCCCACAAAATGTCTCTTGAAGGGAATCTGAGCTTTTCACCTTGCATAAGAATAATACAAAAATTGACACACGTACATGAAACTAAGGGAAAATGTCCAGACGATGTAACACTGTCTTCCCACCATCACCAAGTCTAATTCTACTTCCAAAATTGCTCTGAAGCTGTCAAATTCTTTCCATTTCCATGACCAACCCTACAACCCAAGCTGTCATCATAGGCAACCAAGCTGCTCTGTCCCCCGAGGAGCCTCCTGACACACCTCCTTCAGCAAAGCCCATCACCAGAGCCATCTCTATGACAGGCCCATGCTGTTCCTGGCATCAGCCTTCCAGTGGTGTCCCATTGATTCTTAGGACTAGGAACCACAGGCTTTTATGGACACCACCCCCAGCCTGGCCCACTCCCCATGCTCCAGCTACAATTCTCACTCCTACCACAGGGCATTAGCATGTGCTGCCAGCTCACCCAGGAATGGTTCTTAATCCCATTAGCTCCAAGTTGTCCCGCCCAATGTGAGGTCGGTTGCCACTGAACTCGGACAACCTCCCATTGCCTGCTGAGATACATACCAGGCACTGCTCCTCCCCTTCACCCACAGCACTGAACAGGCCAGGGCTTATCCAAGGGAGTCTGTGCATCGATAGCCCTCTGTCCCCAACCCCACCCCAGCATGGAGGCTGCACACGGTGGGCCCAGTAAGAGCTGTTAAAAGAGAAGAGGAGAAGGGGACAGAGAGGAAGAACAGAGGAGAGAGGAAGTAACAGGGCAAAGAGGGGCAGAGGGATCAGACTGGCACAGAGAAGGACAAGCCACTGGGCAAGGAAGGGGAGACAGGCACAGCCCCCAAAGAAGGATGAGAGACGAAAACACATGAGGAAAAGGAAATGCAGGCGGCCACCCTGAAGGCTCCTCTGTCAAAGACCCGTGGAGGCGACTGTGCGAGTCTGTCTCTGGGTTCCTGGAGGGTGGCATGCCTACAGGGGATGTGGGAGCCCTACCCCACTTCCAGCACCCCTTGCCCCTGTGCACCTCTCCCAGCTGGCTGCTCGTCTGAAATGTTCTTAACAATAAAGCAGTAAAAAGAAAAAAGTACCCCCTGGTTTGTGAGCCACTGTAGCATCTGAAGAAGGGTCAGGGGAACCATGATGTGCAGCTGGTCAGTCAGAGACACTGGTCACAGCCTGGGGCTGGAGAGGTGGGGGTGGTCTCATGGGACTCTGCCCTTAACCCATGGGATCTGACACTACCTCCACATAAACAGCACCAGAACTGAACCGAATCAGAAAACACCAGCCAGCATCCCATCAGAAAGGCGGGCTTGACATGAGGGAGAAAACTCTACGTGTCTGGAGTCGGGATCCCTGAGCACCGAGTGGAGAAGAGACAGAGGAAAAAGCACACAGGCTCTTCTCTTCTCAGAGTGAGGCATTTCCTGCTGTCCCGAGTTTTGAGATTGAGAAAGAAACGCATCTGGTTTTTCCCGTATTCTATCAGGTTGCAACTGGGACTGTCTGGACCTCCGGATCAAGCCAGGAAGAACTGGTCCCTGGCAGCACCGGCTTCCTATCCATGAACATGGGCTGTCTTCACCTTAATCATGAGCCCTGAGCCAGACAGCGTGCTAGATGTACTTAACCTGCCCTCAATGTCTTAGGCACACCTGCCTCATCCTGGAGAATAAAATCAAGGCTCTAATGACAGAGGACAACTTACCAAGCTTCCTACATGACCAACAATGCCTTTCTAACACTTTGCAAATGGTTGCAGGATGGTTCCCTGGAAGCTGAGCCAGAGTCGGGGATCCCTGCTCAAGTGATGACTGGAGTTCTAGAGCGTGAACCACACCAGAGAAGTGGTCCACCTGGAGGCAGGGAGCCAGGCCTCTTGTCCTCCCTGCTAAGCGGTCACTGACCTGCAAGTACTATCACTAGCAAGCCCTGGGGGGCTCATTAGCATCTTTGTTGACACACCCAGCACCAATCCTGGAGCACACAGGCACACCTCACCAGAAAATGATCCTCCCAGACACAAGGCACAGAGCAGCAAGGACCAGGATAATCCAAGCCACTGTTCTGACCTCGAGTTGGTGACTAGGCAGAGGGACTCTGGGTCCACCCAGCCCACCTGGGGCTTCAAGCAGTAGCTTCACTCCTCAGTGCCTCCTTTTCCTCGTGTGAACACCAGGAGCAACAGTGCTCACACTCACTGCTTCTGTGAGGATCAAGTGAGTGTGGCCATGCGTGTGCGCATGTGTTTGCCAATGAAAGTAAGGCCGACAGTTTTAACTGACGATATAGAAGCTTTTATCACCTGTCACCTATTCTAAGATTATTAATGTAACTGGACACTTTGAAGTCCCAAGGAAGAACCCAGTGTCTCTAATTCACCTGTGTGAAAACTGAGGCAGAGATCCTTATGTTGGTAACACGGAAAAAAACCATGACAACTTCTGTTACTAGGACGTGCTCATCTCTCTGCGAGTCCACACACACGTGTGCATGTGTACACTGCACGGCGTGCCAACACCATCCTCGCTAGCTGAGCATGCACTAGAACTTAGAAAAACCTTCTCCCCAAATGCACCATCCAGATCTCAGAACTGCTACCGAGGCTCCCGGGCAGTCTCCAGGGAAGGTGTGCATCGGCCTGCGAAGGACAGGAGCAAGCCCACGCTCTAGAGGTCGAGGGTCGTTGTGCATCGAACTTGGTGTCCCAAACACTCTGCTGGGTCCTTTTCAAGTCCTAGCCCTTCTGACACACCTGGTACCAACCAGGGTCCCATCTAAATGACATCTTTAGTATTTTTAACAGATTATTTCATTGCTAGTCTCATTACTGTACAAGGTAGTTTGAGGGTTAAAAAAAACAGTAATTCAGAACAATTCCTGTATAGTAAATATTTTTTTGTAAATATGCCCAGTAATTAGTTTATTAGAAAATCAAATACCTAGGTATCTATTATTGTAGATACTTTGTATTCGTGAAAAAAAAATGGGTGGGCTGCTTTTGGTACCTAGAGCAGCGAGCAAGGCTGAGGAAGCAGGTGGGTGCTGAGGTGTGGGTCACCCGCAGCGTCTGTACCC